CTTGTGAAATTTCGCCCTTTCATGGCATTCAAAACTGGTTCACTTTACATGATTTAGTAATAGCTCCTTAAGACTTGCATGAGGAAGTGAGATAGGTTTTTCTGGATTTTCGAAAACTTTTAATAAGCTCTACGCTTCTCTCCCAATGAATGTCAGGAAATGTGACACAATTTTATCACCTTTAACATCTTTCTTAGTCATGCTCCAGATTTCGAACCTTTCTAAATAATCCTCAAAAGCTTCCGAATTGTGATGAATATCTAACTTTTCCATCGCAGGCTCCATCGCGACGCCAGTACAATATTCGTACGTATTTGAATTATCGTATAAACTAGGAATCCAGAATTAACGCAACTGAATTAAGAAGTAAGACACAAGCACAAACGAATGTATTGTATTTTGAATTTGAAATCAAGCAATCCACAAGTATCAAGGTATAATTAGTTCGTTCAAACAACACATGTGGTTCTGAAGATTAGGGTCCATACTTAATACTTAACTCTCGCTTATACTACTGGATTGAAAGTTTCAGTTTACCTAATCTTATCTTCAAAGTACATTCTTGAATTACACTTTAATCGTGATGATGAGCTTAAAAGCAATTTTGAACGATTATAACACATACCAAAATGTTAACATTACCCTCTACAGTTAGATATATAATCCACTAAATCATTATATTACAGGAAATAAATCAGACTTATGTGCGGAAGGTAAGTTTATGTGAAGTTTTCGCCAGAGACTAAGCAAACATAGAGTTACTACATCCTGTGCGGAGTTTCAGTTTTTAGGTCACCGACATTCTTACAAAGATAGTTAATAGGAGAGATAAGAACTATCTAAAGGCGATTCAGTGAAATCATTGAAATGTATGATTTCTTAATTAGAATAACCAAGTTCACTGACATCAGAAAAAAATGGAATAAGACTGATCATCAAAGACAGGTCGCAATTGTTTGAGATAATTTAAGTTCAATCAATGTAACTGCATTATCATTGGAATTTGCGAGATTCTACAATCAAATATCAGTTTTATGAACACCGGCTTCTTAATGATGCAAGGAGTCACAAAGTACAGAATGGTCACGGAAACAACAATTGTATACATGAAAATACTACAGTGTCGGTTGACATGTTAAGCCCATGTATCTTATTCTAGCTTTCGAACAGGCCAATCTACTCATCCTAGTTGAGTAATGTTATGACCTTGTTAATTATTCGTTTATCAACGTTGACTGTTTTTATATGGGCGTATGCGTATGTACACTTCTTATCCTCTTCATCACATGTCTGTAGCCTATTTTGGTGTGACTATAAATATTGACTAACACTTGACTAAATGGAGTTGGCCTACCCGCCACATCCACAGCGCGTCGTTTCTCTTCGCTTCTCCAATATTTCGTCTGGACCAAAGATTGCATGAAATATGTGTTCGAAATTCATTCTCGTATTTGACTTATGTAATCCCGTTATTGACTAACGCGATTTAAGTCGATGATTATATACGAGGATAGGCGACATATACATTTCGACAACAATTATTCAATAACAATCATTCACACGATCTACTTGGAGTCGGATTCTGGACCACTAAAATACATCTGTCCAGTTTAATGTAAATGTTCATTGTACTAATTTACTAAGCGTTTATTTATCTTTTCAGCAGACTCTCGAGAATTTCATGGAGTTGGTTCTTTTTACTAATCAATCAAAAACAAGTGTCATGTCTGCACAAAACGTGATTAGATATCCATAGTCGGCGCACTAAACAGGATGTTTGTATTCATCTTGGTGTAAATAATTATCAATACAATGTGATAAAATTTACATCTATTCTAGTAGTTTTTTGCGTAAGTAAGGGATGGGATGTTCAGCGGTGGGACTACTTGCGAAAATTCACATACATACTGTAACATGAGTGTCTCATGATCACTATTGTTCAGTAAAGAAACAAATGGCATATATTTTTTATATGTTTTAATGATCATAGGCATAAGTAATAAATGTCTGAGTCCTACCAGCTTTTTAGCGAGGAAGAATCATTCCAAACTGGTTACATCAAGAAAGAGCTGTTAGTTTGAAAATAGCGAACTACTTAGAGGGGATAATAGATAGAGCCTCTGGTCTTTGACAAAAGATTAAAGTAGAAATTGTGAATCAGTGCCTTTTACAATAATAAAGCTAACTGATGTCAAACACCCAGGCTTACTCGCGTATCGCGAAACAAAAGCTTAACAAAGTCAGCCTTGTGACGATAAGAATTAACTGCTGTGTGATTTCTAAACAGCACAATAGTACAGAATTTGACTTGGTAGTTTAATACACCATGTTCAGTATGCAGTATTCGGTATGCGGTCTAGATGACTAATCGCAGGTGCGCCAACCTATTAATCGTTACACATCAACGCAAACCAAGATCCCTATGTTTCACAACCACACAAGACTGCTAAGCGCACACCCTCTGCCGTAAGGCTGTGAGAGCAATGGGTTCTGACAATGTGGCTTCCTAATTGCCACCGACTGAACTCATAACTTGTTTGCATATATCTTCCGATGCTTTGAGGTATGAACGGGTATATTTACTGACCAGAGGTTCATTATGAACATGGATTGTGTGGTAGATATTAGTGAACTTCTCAAACAGATACTCACTCTCTGTGGAACTTGACATGTCGCCTAACACACGAAAAACCACTACCATTATGTAGTTCCTTGTCCTCTGGCTGCTATATCGAAATAAATTTATGATGCTTATAGAAACAGAAAAAACACAATTACCTTCACGAATTAGATCTTTAGAAATAGTGGCCTTGGAACTTGAAAATAAAGGGACATTTAAATGCATTTCTTACTTCAAGCTTTGGAAAACGTTGAAGATCCTTTATAGCGTCATATGGACGTAAAAGTACGTCAATGTCTGTCTTACTCCAGATTTTCCAGAACGTCAACAGAAGAAAATCACCTTTTCTGAGACATTTTTTAAGTGTTTGTGAGCACTTTACACAGTATTGTGTTGTTGCTCAGGCTAATTTACTGAGCCTACCTCGCGGACGAAAAAACGTGACTAAATGTTCAAGGTCCTAAATGATATCAGTGAGAAGCAGATCTTGACTACTTTACTGCACAAATCAATGTGGGAGAAACAAGTCCCAATCTTGAGACCCACTGATTGAAACCCGGATAGTTCTTCTACCACTAATCTATGATTCCTATAAGTCTGTTTAATATAAACGTATTGCAACAGTTTTCGGAAAACCGCACCATTGGGGTGAAATAGAAGTGATCTAGATATTAAAAATGGCAGCACAATCTATTCAATGATTGATAACCCTCGTCCTTAAAAGTGTTTAGGATCGGTAAATTAATTGAACAGCATGAGATGATCTTGAAAATAAATCAACAAATCTGACCAAGTTCGTTTAAATTTTAATATGGATAATTCTACTAAGATTATTGCTAATGTGTTCTATTCATGTCAGAGATAAAGTCAAGCGTATGTTGTATTGTATCGACAATAGTTATGACATTCCGACATTTTCCACTTTGTATTTATTTATTATTTTAAACACATGAATATAGGTAAAAAAAGGCACCAAATAGATCTGCGCCACATAAATCATTCGATTTATGTGAGGGTTGGGATGCCCAAACTGAAGCAGGTGGTTTTCTTAAGGGGCCACACCCCGAGCGTTTGACCTAAACGTTTAATCCACAAGGCAGGGGAGCACCGTCAGGAGATGTAGTCCAATGGTGGCCGGTGACCAACAATTGGTTCGTATGCCATTATTTCCTTCAAGATCCTGGAGCTCATGTGCACGATCGGTTTGAAATCAGAGTTATCCGACTCCCCTAGGTGGATCCTCTATATTCACCAATCTGCTTAAAGCGCCGGATATTCACTTTTCGTCCTCGCAATTTCGTAAACAACACCCGTGATGCGAGGAGGCAGTGAGTAGGACTTCCCTATCAGTGGTTGTATGCACATCGTCATGTGAGAGCATTTGAAGAGGGATAGCTAACTCTCACCACTCTCGGCCGTATCAGGGCATTTGGGGGCTTTCCACCTGGTAAGTAGGCTATTCCTGATGTAGAAATATGTCGTGGATATTGTATCATAGAAAACACTATATCACAAACAGTCATCATAAAGTAAAAGTACAAATCAATGACAGAAAAAGGTTACCCCATGTTTAGCAACAAATAGTATGTCCATATCTGTTGTTAGTTATATGAAGTAAGAAAATAAATTGTACAAAGTATATAATTATAGTTACCCAAATAATAAGATCATTGAACAATGAATAACATGACATTACATTAGATTTACCTTTGACATTTCTCAAATGCTTTTATATATCCATATAAGAACTTATATTACAAACATAATGATACTGTTAATGATAATAACAAGAAGTTTCTCAAAAAGAAAAGGCAGGAAATGACTCTTTAGAAAAGCAACATTTAGAAGCATCACAGTTCTTTTAGATTAGTTGAATTTTGTAATACAAATACACATTATTAGTTCTGTTTGTTTTGCCTCCAGTAGGACAGAACAAAACTAGCTTCCAGTTGAGAGAGAAATTAAGAAAATGGCATTGGAAATCATCAAACTATATTACGAGGTAAGTACTAACTTGGAATCTTGAAGAGAAATGAAAAAAAAACAACGAGGGTTGAAGAACCCATAACGTTGAGAATTAGAAGTGGACGTCGTAATGATGAATAACAACTGGAAAGAACTAGAAAAGATTTTCCAGGACAGATTTAGACAGAGAATATTATTGAGCGGCCTGTATTCCTCCACAATGGATAACAGACATAAGTAAGTAAGTTTTATTATTGTATAGATTTTTTACAAAGTGTAGTTAGTTATACAATGAAATTACAATCATCTTTGAAATGAAATCAAAAAACAAAAACAACCTCTGGACAAATAAACCAATAAAATAAAGATCATAAAATCAATGATTTGAACAGATCTTTCTTTCTAAAACAAAAGTTCACCTGTCTACCATTAAATGTTGTAGTTGAAAGACAAAACTACGTGCCAATTCTAGTAGTGTAACACAGTCATGTTGTTCGGTTAATTCTGAAATGAATGGTGAGAAAAAAAAGCAACGTCGTTATCGGTAGTCTGTAGGTCATCGTCGAAACAGTCTGGTATAAATCTTCATTAGTATCAGGAGTTTTGTGGATAGTCTAGTAATTTTAATAGTTGATATCATGAGTTAATTGAAGCTAGATCACTATGGAAAACCTGGAGGCACCAGACGGCCGTTTCGTTTTACTGTGGGACTCTTCAGCAGTGCTCATCCACGATCTCACCTCGCGAGATTCGAACTCAGGATCTATCGGTCTCGCATGCAAACGCTTCACATCTGGAGCACTGAGCAGGTATCCAACGGTGTTAACGTCTAACTTCAACTAATCCACGAGATTGAGAGACATATCCACCATTGTCTTCAGTGGGTTACTATCTCACAACACACACGGTTGAACTCCACTGGTCACTGCTTCCCATTAAAACTCCAGAAATGCCTCTTGAAGCCAGTCACTATCGAGCATATGCTGATTATAATCAGAGAGAGGGTTTTGTGGATATTTTAGTAATTTTAATAGATGAGATCATGAATGTACGTACATTAACCAAAGTTGCCATATCATATCAGAAGGAGGAAATAAATCTAGCAAGATAAATGTCAAAGGAATGTAGTAGCAAAGGTAATGAAAAAGACTGAAAATTGAAACTTTGGTTAGAGTAGGAGGAATGAAAAGATCTACAATACTGTGACATATTCCCAACCATTTTACCCATGTACTCCAATCACTGATAAAGGTTATCACGTGAATCCCAACCAAGTAGTTTGGGTCCACCAACTTGGTTCAGAATAGTGATCATCGAATTAACGGAGTGATGTTATATCTTAGTTTGACTGCCCTAGCTTTTTTCTGAATTACCATACTAGCTCACATCGTCTGTCAAGGTAGTCAGTCGTCTATCATAGGTAATACAAATTCCAATCACTTCAGTCGATGAGGATTTACAACCTTATCAACTAACGGCGATATTATAATTTATGGACGAACCGATCAGACTCAGGATGACAGGTTTCGGATTTTAGGGCGAAATTCACTCATCCAATTGTCTAAATAGTGTCCTGGCCTTTTAGTTGATGTCAGTTCGTGATGAAAACCATATATCTAATTCCTAACCTTAACTATCAACTGTAAATCATAATCCTTACTCTTCATACTGCTTTATAACCATCATTTGGCTCTAGCAAGTAGGTGGATATTCCCAAGGTCACTTCAGCGTCACTCAAAGGTCATCCATAAATTATAGTCTCACCCAACTAACTTGTAATCTTTGCTTGTTGCCCTATGCTTAATCTTAGTTTATTCCCCTGGCTACTTTTTGTGTCTCGCATTGCGCTACTAGGTAATAATCAGTAGTTTGAGTATGTTCAAACATTTAAACAGTGTCAACTTCGCTATTTTCAATATTCGTTGATATTTTTCGTCGTTTTCTGACATTCTATCTATTTGACTGTATTATGACAATATAACTGGAGTTTAGAAGCCTTACAGTTCAAAGTTTCGAAAGTATAAGTGTTGATTTTTGTTCCATCTTATAGTTCCATGCATATAGAGAGATGAGAATTTTCAAAAATCTTGTCTCTGCATCAGTAACACATGTGTTTGACGGTGGATAATCCAAAGCCTTCTCCATTATAAGTTATAGTTATATAATATACCCTTGTGGGCCAGGGTAATTCCAAATTTGTTTTCAGGAGAACCAGACACCATCCAGAATTTCACGTGACAACCCAAACAGTACAACTCAATCCCATTTAACTGGAGAGCCAGACATCGCTCAGGCTTAAATTTTATAACCAGAGCAGTACAGCTCAATCCCGCTTCCCAGGAGAACCAGACACTGTATAGGCTTTAACGCTACAATCTGAATAGTACAGCTCAATCCTGTGGCGCAACTACACAGGTACCAAGCACCCTGGTGGACCATTCGCACCATTCATATACACGTTCACAGCACGTGTATAATTATTCTGACGAATGATCGCATGAATCAATTATGCACAGCACGAACAGGCCAAAGTTGACCCATTCCGCTTACACGACAGTCAAACTCATTAATGTTAGCAATGGCGACATGCCTTACAATGTCCCAATGACGATGGCCCTTGAGAACACTTTCAAACCACCACCAGTATGAATGAAATCGGTTAACCAGCAAACCAATTATGTGCATGAACAGTCAGCAAAACTTGCCAAAGCAATGCCGAACCATCTATAAAATCAATGGTGAACCTTCAGTCTCATATGAGACCTTGAGCTCTACATAGCGATAGAGCATATACTGCATACAACACATATGTAGGGTAGTAAACGAAATAGCCCAGCCTGAAGCGTTAGGGCTTAAATAACGCTTAAAACCCATTTTCTAGTGTCGGAACACTATTACTAGACCACCAAGATTATCTTTATCGCATTTGCGAAATTTTCATTCTTCCAACTTTTCAGACCATGGGTTAGGGGTAGTATCCCTTCCATTATAAGTAAGTCGATTTCATTAAAGTATCATTTTCAAAAGTAATTTGTGCTATAATACGTTAGTAATAACGAATTCTCTATACTAAATGTATGTGACTTTCTGAACGATTTCTAAACTTCCACAATCTTTGACGTTTAGAGTGAGAAAGCGGAAACTGTAATCTACCAGAACCAAGCCTGGATAAAGTAGGAGGTTGGGCATGGGGTTAGCGACCCCATCCCGTAGAAAACTAACTCGCTAAAAAGTACTAACCAGAAAAAAATATTCAAGCCATTCAAACTCTGCCCTGGTGGTTAGAAGGTCTTCATTTAGATGAGTTATGATGCCTCATAGTGAAAGCCGAGTTCCTTCAGAATTCACAAGGTTGGTGCCCTTCTAACAACCAAAGCAACCATTAATTTAGATCATGGAATGCTCGTACAATATGGAAAACCGGGAGAGTCTTCCAAATTGCTGCAGAAATGAGGAGATACAACCTGGAGGTGCTTGGAATCATTGAAACACATTGAACGTAGGCGTGAGTAAGTAATCGTTGATACATATACTACTTATATATCTGTCAATATCAGTAGCATACACTATCTAATATCATTAAAATGAATTGATTCATTCAATGAAAATTATGAACTTACCATTATAAAATCGAATAATTTCTGTTATATCCATATTATAATAAATTAAAATATCACGATAATATTCAAGTAATGCCAATGCAAAAAATATACCAAAATCATATGTTACTATACGACGTGATGCCCATATTGTTTCCCATACAGGGAAGATATCATCATATTGTAATTCTAATAATAATAATACAAAAAGACAATAAGAAAATAAAGATTATCAGAAGGGGTTTTGTGGAGATTTTTAGTCATTTCAATAGTTGAAATCATTAATGTTAGACCACTATGGAAAACCTGGAAGCACTGGATGTATGGGACTTCTCAGAAGTGCACATCAATGATCCAGCCGCCGCCACGCTAGTTTCGAACGCAGGACCTATGAATCCCGCGCGCGAGCGCTTAACCATTAAACCACCGAGCCGGCATCCAACGGTGTTAATGTCTAATTTCAGCTGTGTGAATGTACACTAATAGACAAAACTGACTGTGATTTAAGAAACAGAAAGCATATAGATATATACGTAAATACAGACAAATATCAAGTATTCATTATCTTCAGTACGTACTGTTATAAATTATGGCCTGAGTGCCCTGTTAATGTATAACATAATGATATCGCCAATTAGAGAGTAGTGAATTAACGATCGGACCAATGACGCATAAAACAAGTACGAGCAGTCTAGAGTCTTTATTGGTCCTACTTTCCGCCTAGCTCAGTCACTTAAGTCCAGAACACCAATCACAGCTTCTACGATATGAATCATGTATTTCAGACATACTGGGTTTATATACTAACCAAATAGACCACATCGTACCAATAAAATGGGAAGTAGTATTTAGCCAAATGTGGCTGTGAATGTGGGAGATTGTAATTAATAGACAGGGCATAGTTCAAGAATGGCAAATCGTATAATAATACTTCATAGATCAAAATAAAGCTCATGAGAAGAGGGACATGAATATGAATAGTTTAGTCATTGAACAATTATGGGATAAAAATATACGTATAGTAATGATCCATAAATGGATCCCAAAAGTTACCATTCATTATCCTTATCGGGATATAACACCTACCTCGTTTAAAGTCTAATAATAGCCAACGATATGAAAACAATAACTGTCCTTCTGGTACTTTTTGAGCTAAATGATTATTCATTTCTGGATCAAAGATCTAAAAATAAAGTGAACAGTATAATACATTAGTAAAAAGAACAAAGTCAATGTATAATTAATGAAAGTAAATATAACTCACTGGAATAGTTGATCAGTTTTATCTATCAATTCCTATTTTATGGTCAATTACATTTACATTTCACTGTCAACTAGTAGACTCAAATATATTAAGATATAGAATATTCAGAGATGAGAGATTGTTGTCTTTAACTAGTGATAGAGAGATTAGTCAATCAGTCAGTCAGTCAGTCAGTCAGTAACAACGTATAACTTCGTACGTACGTATATTAGTACGAGTTGCCATAACACATCAGCACACAAATACGATTATCCATTCAAATCCATAGTGGTAGAGGTAATAAATGTATAGGCAGTAATCGGAAAGATTAGGGTTTGAAGAGTTTATTTAAAGAGTATAATCCAGTGAAGTAAATTTAGAAAGAGAAAAAAGGGACATGAAGAATACAGAAGATTAGAATTTGGGAGAATATAAAAAGTGGATGTACCTGCGCCATTGCAAACGGTTTTGAGCAACATCATTCATTGTTTCTAACCATCGTGAATCCAAACCAAGAAGTCTATACCTACCAATATGGCTCAGTTTACTTGTTGGTGACTTCGTAGATTTGTGCCATGTTTTAGTCTGGCCGCCCCTAGCTTTCTTCCAACCTACTCCTACACCATAAAACATTGCTCGTCGGCACAGTCGATGCTTGGACATATGTAACACGTGTCCCAGCCATCTCAACTGATATAGTTTCACTACTTCATCAATTGATTTGCCATCCTTACCTAGTACCCGTTTCCTAACTACTGCATTACTTACTTTGTGATCCCAGGATACACGAGCAATGCTTCGAAGACACCTATGATCGAATACTAGTGCCCTACGAATATCCTCTACTGTTACCGGCCATGATTCACTGCCATAAAGTGGGACAGAATGAACTGTAGTACAGTAAACACGTCCTTTGGTTGGTAGACGGAGGTCTGAGTGAAACAGTCTTATAAAATCATTACACTTATTTCCTTCTTTAACAACGATTGAGATCATTTTTAATAGCTTTCTAACTACTTGTACAGTATACAACCTAAAAATACATTTAAAAAAAACTTTAATGGAACTGATAATCATGAAGGACAAAATGATACCCTGTCGAATCCTCTTAATGCGTTCTTCAACATTTCCAGCTATGAACTCCGCTTGGAGTCCCTCCGGGGGCTAATGCCGGTTCCGATCCCGGATAAACGAGGAGGGTTGGGCATGGTGTTAGCGACCCCATCCCGTAGAAAACTAACTCGCTAAAGAAACGCTAACCAGAAAATTATGAAAAATCTACTAGAAACAAAATATTCAGAAATAAATCCTCTGTGAGAGCAACAACATTCGAATTTCAATGTATAGTTGTATTCACATAATTACTGGAGTTCATTAGTATCATTATGTTTATAATCGCACAAATTATTGATTTTTGTGTTAATATTAAGTCAATAATAACCAGTAAGATCTTTTTTTTTAGAACTATTGATACCACGTTTGAGGAATAGAAGGGGAAAGGTGTGGAAAATACTTATCAATGAGGGGATGAGTGAGTATACTTAATTAAATTACAGTTATTTTAATATTCAATCAGTCAGTCAGCTACAACTTAGGACCAGGCACATATATGCATCGGTCCAAGTTGCCATACCTCATTAGCACAACAAGATGAACATCAAATTCATAGAAGTAGTTACTTCAATAGTAGTAATATATAAAAGAAAAATTGTGTATTATTGGACATAATACAGGAAGAAAGAACAAGTTAGTAGAAGGGAAGATATAAAGCAATTTTAATATCATAGTTTAAAAGAAGATAAACAGTCTATACACCGACACCATTGTTATACACATTTGGGCCAAATTCTAAGCTGTGGAGAGACTATAACTTGTGGACGAACCAATCAGAAGCGTTTGAAGGGGTTCAAGGTCACGGCGCCAATTTCGGTACCTGATGTTAACGTACGAACGGTTCACAACGGATTTTATACAAAACGTGATAATTGAGCGGATATAACAAAGAAAATGACGAGACTATAATTTATGGACGAGCCAGTAAAGTATAAGATAGCAGGCCTCGGATTTTGGCGCGAAAGTCATTTGTCAATTTGGCCAAATTGAGTTTTGACATTATAGCTGATGTCAGTTCGTGATGAAAACCCTATATCTATTTCCTAACTAAGGCGAATTATGACAGTTATTGCGAACTGGATAATAAAAGCACCAGTAACACTGACTGCAACCAGGTACTACAATATATACGAATGTTTGGAGAGCATACAGACTCATTCATAGGATTGGTTATGTGTATCTTGTCGTTATTCACAAGCAGCACTTTGTGCACTCAACAACCGGAGTGCACATAAACAATATTGAAGCTATGTATGTGGTCGAGGCTGAAAGAGTATTTGAGACTTCATCATGGCTCCAGAGGCCGACTATTCTTTAATCGTATGGATGATTTCCTCTACTGCATGCATTACGATTTTAGAACCTCCAAACCTCTTTCTAACCTTGATAAGTTTTTGAACCATGTGTAGGAAGTGTATCTACTTTATTTTCTTGGTGTTGTATAATATAATTTTACTCTATACTGACTGCTTTCTGATTGGCTAATATTTATCAAAGTCACTTGGGATTCATTCAAAGAACGTCCATAAATGATAGTCTCTCCGATTTACAATTTTTATCATGAACTGACATCCGCTATAATATCAGAGTGCTATTTAGTCAAATGGACGGATGAATTTCGCGCTAAAATCCAAAATCTGTCATCTTAAATCTGATTGGTTTGTCCATAAATTATGGTCTAGTCATTTTATTAAGTCATTGAGGATTTTTTCTAAATTTAATGATAATAATACTTGATTTATTCAATTCAATAGGTTCAATTAGAGTAAACATTGCTCAGAGTAAAATATCCCAATAATCCCATCTACTAATAATTAACCCGTGAATGAGAACCCATTCATATTCATCCGTAAATACGTTACGATCAGGCCGCCAAATGCCCTGGTATGGCCGAGAGTGGGGAGAGTTCGCTCTCTTTCTCGAAATACTCTCACATGGCCACGCGTATATAGCCTCTGCCAGGGAAGTTCTACTCACTGCCTTCAAGTGGCGGAAGTGTTGCTTACGAAATTGAGAGGACGAAAAGCGAACGTCCAGCTCTTTAACCGGGTTGGTGGATATGGAGAGTCCACTTAAGGGAGTTGGAAAACCCTCATTCCAAACCAATGGTGCACATGGGCTTCAGGATCCTGAGGGAACAAATGGCGTATGAATCAATCGTTGGTCACCGACTACCATGAGACTGCATCTCCTTACAATGCTCCACTGCCTTGTGGACCAAACTCTAAGGTAGAAGGCTCCGGGTGTCGCCCCTTAATGAAACTACCTGCCTCGGTTTGGGCATCCAGGCAGTATCACAGTCCTCACAGATATCAAGTGAGATTTGGGTGGCGCATATGTATTTGGTTCCTCCTAGTACCAATATCTGTGTTAAAATAACTAAATAAATAAATACGATCAGTCTTGTACGAATGGCATATCCTTCCAATGCCAAATATATTTGGATGCTTGTATGGCTCCCATAATAATCGCTAGTCGTTTGTTCAAATAAAAGGCCAGAAGAGGAATATATGCGAAACACCATGATGATATTTTTTGAAAAAGTATCGCAGTAATTAGATTCCCAATAAGTTGTAAACATTTTATAAAAGCGCTTAACTGTATACAGCTAGCAGACAGAATTAGTTGATTAAAACCAACTCGAAATTCATGGTAATAGATTGATATTTGAAACATTGACGGCAAAGACATTCCAGCAGGATACTAATCAATTATGAGATGATGGCAAAGATTTGTAGCTCAGGTGGATGATTTTGGTGGAGTTTTGTTCTCTGAGCTGGATGGTTTGGTCGTGGAACATTCATCGTTCTTCTGAACGACATCATCAGCACAAACTTCAGATAGAACTGAAGTGTTCGAAAATCACTACGATCAATCCTATGCAAACCAAAGGATGAAATATCAAAGGAAAACAAATCAAACATCATCTACAAAATAAATTTTACCAACTGCGACAAACACTATATCGGACAAAGCGGACTCCTCATCCACCTATGCCTATATGAACATCAATTAGCAGTCAAACGCCATGATATCTCTTCACTTATATCAATACACGTGGATAACTATGGACACTCATTCGATTGGGAGAATGTAGAAATCTTAGACAGAAGAAACTCCAAAAACACCAGAGAATTTTTAGAAGCCTGGCACTCAGGTCAATCAGCAATCAACAAACATATTGAAATCAATCCAATTTATCAACCAATCAGGAAAATCATGCATAAATATAGGAACAAAAATCAAACCAATGGGAGACACAACCAAAACAAAGAAGTAAACAATGATAAATTTAAGGTCAATGAGAACCAATCAACATCGAGGTGCACAGAACAAGCTGTGAAACACATATGGAGGAATTCGAACACTTCACTTCTATCTGAAGTTTGTGCTGATGATGTCGTTCAGAAGAACGATGAAAGCTCGACGACCAAATCATTCAGCTCAGAGAACAAAACTCCACCAAAAGAAAAAAACTAATCAATTATACATATGTCGGCATTGGTTTACGGAGATTTTTGAACTTTGTTCAAATCATGAATTGATCAAAATTAGACAAATATCGAAAAAACTTGAAGCATTGAACGACCTTTATATTCTAATATAGGATTCCATAGAGGTCTATATCAATGATCTCACCACAAAGGGAAACGGAACTCAGGACTTTCAGTCTCCATCCACCGACACTGAACTATTAAATTATTAAGAGATTATCGAATGGTATATAAGTTTTCAATATTGCATAACCATCTGTTAAGTTTATCGAAGCGTCCAAATCACCCGTTTGAGATACACGCAAAACCGAAGTTTCCAAAACAATAGCGGTTCTTTATTAAATAATACACAAAATTTAGTTACTAACCTCAACTTGTGAGGTGTCTAGGGCGTTTAAACCCGTCCTTCAAGTATGAAATAAAAAGGCTTCCTCTAAGAGTAACATAAAGGGTGATTATAACATACGATAGTACAATGGACAGCTAATAGGTGTGTCTAAATTTGTTAACACTTTATGAACAATCGAAACCCGAACCAAGAGCAAAACAATATGGAAACTGTTGCATTTAAACAAATGCACAAAACTATGTGAAACCGCTACAGCGATTAAGATACAGTAATTATAATGATAAATACAATGATAAGTACAATAAACGTTATAAGTATATGTGAACATTTCAGAATATTACACCACAACTTGCGTCACAACATAGTTGTAAAAATTGTTGGGAATACAACTGCTTACTGAATGTAAATAAGTAGTATAAAACAATATACAAAAGAGTCGAAAGGAAGCGAGTAGTAACAATGTAAGACAAACTTAACACCATCTTTGATTATCTTCGATGGGTGTCCTTTAGGAGATTACTCTTGAAGCTAATCATTAGCAAGGCTTAAACATTTAATTATTATTACCGCATAGAAAGTTGAAGATATACACTAGGACGTGAAAAAGTCTATCCAGTATGAAAATACTATAAATTTATAAAACAATAAAAACAAACGTTTTTTTATAATTTATTATACTCACTTCTATTAATGATTGAAGAAAAGAAAATCTTATATCCATACATGGTACTGATAATTCAGAAGAGTTCAATAATAGTTTATCATATGGTGAAATGATTATATTTGTATTTTGATGATGATATGATTGTTCAATTGTTTTATCAGTGATTCTCTCTAACGATGTCGATGATGATGATGCCAACGATGATGATGTTGATGTTGCGGATGATAATGATGGTGTTTCTTTGAGTTTATTTGTACAACGCAATGTATTATTATCATAATGAAATTGTTTTGAGTGATTATTATTACTACTAGTATTACTATCTATGGTATTATCTTTACTATACATTGTTGTAGTACGACGACGAGCTGCTTTTACAGCCATCTGTAATAAAGTTGTACGTGTACGATCATTATTATTATTATTATTGATTGTTTTCTCTATATGATTAGTCAACATTGATGTTGACGTCGACTTCGACGACGACGATGATGATGATGATGGCGTTAGTAATAAATGAGTTTCAGATGGTGATAATTTAATTGAATTAGATGATTGAGATAAAGAATTTTTTATAAGTGGAAAGTTAGGTAACATCCATTTCATTAAACAATTAAAACATGCAAATGTTTTAATTTCATCTTCAATAATAATTAAAATGGGCGCTAATAAATCACACATTCCTTGTATATAACCAATATCAAGATGTAACCATACCCAGGTTGATATAATATTACGTAATTTAATTAAATTAGAACTTAATTCAGTTGTGTTAGGATGTGAAGATTTGGAACCTTTTTCTAAAAAAAAAACAAAAAAAGAAGAGAAGTTCCGTTGAAAGGATCCAGAAAACTCTTTGACAAAAAAAGCCAAAAAGGGCTTTGAAAATACTGACAAGCATCTTATCTAATCAGCATTCAATAGAAGTTTTATCGGGATGGGTTTTGTCGAGATTTTAGAAATTTCACAGATTGAAATCATGAGCCAGTTGAAGCTAGACCACCATTGAAAACCTGGAAGCACTGGACGGCCGTTTCGTCCTAGTATGGGACTCCTCAACACCGTTGGATGCCGGCTCAGTGGTCTGGTGGTTAAGTGCTCGGGCAGGAAGCTAGTAGGTCCTGTGTTCGAGCCTCGCGTGGTGCGGGATCGTGGATGCGCACTGCTGAGGAGTCCCATGCTAGGACGAAACGGCCATCCAGTGCTTAGAGGTTTTCAATGGTGGTCTAGCTTCAACTGACTCATGATTTCAATCTGTGAAATAGAAGTTTTGCCAGAGACGTCTCGAAGGTGAAAAGTCACATGTTGAGTTTCTGATTGAATGATTATCTGTACTGCTATTATGTTTAGTAGCGTTTCAGAATGTTCCGGAAACCCAAGGACATCTAAAATACTATAACAACCTTAGATTTTCTGTACATAAATAAACTTTTGGAGTAAAGCGTTTTCTCTCATATATATCGCGTTTTTTATCTTGTGTTCAATTTGCTGTATAGATTTAGCCTGAGGGTTACTAGAAGAACTTAGGAACTAAATCTAGTTTTCAATTAGCAAGACTTATCAAGTTCGGAAAAAAGAGTAGGAAAGAAGAAAACATATGACGGTGGTTTTGGAAAATCAAGCGCCTTTTTAATCATTAAATTGGGTGATATCAAATTACTAGTATAGGGGTTGTGGTGATTATTAAGTTTTTGATTGAGATTATGAACCGATATTTTGGGGCTCCTCAGCAACGCTCATCCACGACCCGCTCGCGGGATTCGAATCCAGAGCCTTTGGTCTCGCGCGCGGACGCTTAACCTACTGGACCACTGAGCCGGCATCCGATGGTGATAGTGTTCAACATCAACCAATCCATGGAATTGCGCGACCATCTTCCGTTGTACTGAGGTAGATACCTATCTCTACCCGACATGGATTAGCCCCCACAATAGGACGAAACGGCCGTCCAGTGTTTCCAGGTTTCCAAAGGTGGTCTAACATCAATCGGTCAATGATATCAAATTATTAGAACCTGAAAAGAATTGGTACATGGTTGTTGAATAAGCTTAAAATAGACGTTGATGATGTACAAGACAGCTTTATTGTACGGAGCTATAAGTATAAGTATTTATAAACAATTGTCTACACAAGATACTCAATGTTCACTGAACGGATATCATCAGCTACAGCCTACTGCTGGGAAGAACAAACCAGATTCCGGTTCAAGAGGGAATTAAGAAAAGATGTTGGAAGTGAATAGGATATACATTACGGAAATTACCAAAGAACATAACGGGGGTACCTCTAACTTGGAATCCTTAAGGGGGACAGAAAAGAGAGAGACCAAAGAAAACACTGCATCGAGAATTGGAAGCGGACATCGAAAGGATGAATAACAAGTGGAAAGAACTGGAAAGGATTGTTCAACACAGAGTTTGATGAAAAATGCTGGTAGGCGGCTTATGCTCCTCCTCTAGGGGTAAAAGGCCTATGTAAGTAAGTAAGTAAGTTGATGATGTAGTTTAAGAAAAAAAAACAGATGTTTCATGCTTAAGCCAACGAGCTCCATCCAAACAACACAACAAAACCAAAAGCTTCCCACTTGAATTATCCATCTTCGCTATCAGTTCACATTATACTTGAATATGCGATAAAATATCAGGTATAAAGTTTGATTTATATGTGATTGATGGTGACAATTTTTTAAACCATGAACCAGAAACCGTCAAGTGCTAATATTGTCCTTGAATAAAGTGTCTAAATAAACCACTGATGTAAATAATCACCACTCAAGGATAGTTTCAGAGAGATCTTAGATCATTAGAGATCAAAATCAGTTATGTAACAACAGGGAATATTCAACACAACGAACAATTCGTTTCTTTTAAAAGGACTTTATCATAATGAATAGTATGAGACTAAAATAATCAAAGCCCCCAAATGCCCTGGTACAGCCTAGGGTGGGGAGAGTCAGCTCTAGCTCTCCATATGCTCTCACATGGCCAAAAGTGTACAGCCACTAACAGGGATGTTCTACTCACTACCTTCTCGTGGCATTAATGTTGGTTACGCAATTCAGAGAAAGAAAAGTGAATGTCTGGCGCTTTAACCGGGTTGGTGGATATGGATGATCTACCTAGGAGAGTTGGAGAACCCTGATCTTAAACCAATGGTACACATGGGCTCCAGTATCCTGAGAGGATAAATGGCGTATGAACCAATCGTTGGCCGCCAGCTACCATGGGACTGCATCTCCTGACTTTGATCCACTGCCTTGTGGATCAGACCTATAGGTCAATGGCTCCGGGTGTGGCCTCCTAATAGAGCCACCTGTTTCGGTTTGGGCACCCGGGCAGTATGACAGCCTACACACAAATCAAGTGACTTGTATGGCTCATATGTATTCGGTGCCTCCTTGTAGATTCATTTCTTTTGAGTTATGACAACTAAAACACGCATCGAGTTAACATGAATAGTTTATAGATGTTGTTTAAGTTTTGTTCTGCATATCATGAATCAACTATAAATTAGACATTCATTCGAAATCACGACCCATTCCACAGGTGACTTAATCTTACGTCGGGACTATTTAGAAATGTGCGCTAAAATCCCTGTTAGAAATCGAACTCACGACCTTAAAGTATTGAGGTGAATGCTTTACCTTCAGACAGCTGAGTTAGCAGCCGACAGTTTACTTTTCTAACTTAAGACAATTTGTATATTAGTAAGTAAACGACTACTTTTGAGCAAGATGAACCTGACAATGTTCTAGAAATTAAAATCAATAATCGACGATGATGGTTTATTTTTAGCCAATTCTGTTTTGTAATAAGTTTCGTGAAAACATAGAAGGAGTCTAATACAAAGAAATTGTACTAGAAACGAATAATTCAGATCGTTAGCCAACGACATATATATTTTTCCTGCTTCAATTTTCGACTCATGCTGCTACGTCAATCAACCAATTATAAGCCATTTCAGACCTGTCATATATGTGCATTGGTTCAAGTTGTGGGAATACCTCAACATAGAGAGATAACAGAGTAGTAGAAGTAGTGATTGTATTCATGGTAGTATAAAAGATTAAGGATTCCGGAAGAAAATGTTGGTCAAAATACCTTCACTGAACAATCTATTCTACCAGTAAACTAATTGGTAAGAATCATCAAGTCTTTTTTTGTTTGTAAAAATTTTGATCGAATTGATAGCTCAGTTTTGTAAGATGGTGGTTGAAGGTTGTCAATAGGAAGCTCACTGTCCAGGTTTCGTGCTATTTTACACTCGTCAGCAAGGTGTACCTGTAATCTTGAGAGAACTGATGCTTCCTGACGGATTCGATCGTGTGTCAACCAGCTTTACAGTCAGAGATATTACCACTGAGATTACAGGTAAACATTGCTGATGAGTGTCAAATAGCACGAAACCTGGGTTCAGGGTTTCTTGTCAACTACCTCTAACCACCATCTTATTATAACATAGTGTACGCACTGTTGAGTTACCTGAACTACTGGTCATATTGCAACCTGGTTGGTAGGATTCAATCTGCACTAAAAAGGATCTGACACACATGACATTGATCATCACCCAGTGATCAATCATTTGAGGGCGTAATTGTGTATATATCATCCTGGTTTCAATGACTTGTTAGTAGGAACATTACTGGTAAATCCTTAAAAAAGGAAAAAACTACTATCCAGTGCTCCCTCATTTTAAAATATTCTCTGACATCAGTCAATAATGAACTATAGGATAATCATTGGGAAATGTAGAACTTTTAGGACTATTCTGCAAATAGGTTACTACATATCTTTCTTATTGTGTATACAGTAAATATTAGATTTATGGTATTTTCATATTGTTCTAATCACAAGCTTTCATTTCACTTGGTAACTATCAATATAAGTTTTACCTTTCTGAAATTGTTATTAATTAATGCTCTGTTTTGTAGCACATACACCTTAGATATATATCAATTATGACCAATTATTTATCGTACATTTTTAGTTATGTAATCATTGTATGTAAGTGTTATAATTTCTCTTATTATGTATGACCCAGCTATTCTCATTGCTTAGTATTGCTGAACACTATTTCACTAGATAAGTCCCCAAATTAGAATACGGTTGAACAGGGTAGATGAAAGCAAGAAACACAATCGGAAAAACGTTAGTGTATTTATAGTTTTTACATGAGAAGATTCTAGAGTACTCTTCAAGTATTGGCTAACGCTGATTGGATAAGAAATAGCCAATCAGCGCGCAGCAAAACAATCGTGCAAAGAACTTGTTTTAATTCAATCTATATCCCGATAACAGTAAGTTTATAAATTTTTAAACCTTAATGATAAACAGTTTATCAGATTGTTGTCCTCTACTGATTAGGTATTCAGGATAGAATGAAGTGTATTGTATCAAATAAGAAACTGGATTTCTAGTCACTATGGGAGTTCATTTGTGTTACTAGTTACGAAGATGATACTTTGGTTTGAATAGTATCAATAACGTCATAGTTAATGAACTCTATGAATAAGCAACATAAAGGATTGAAAAACATATAAAATGCTAAACAGAAGGTATTTTGTGGAGATTTTAGAAATTTCACTGATTGAAATCATGAGTCAATTGAAGCTAGACCACTATGGAAAAACTGGAAGCACTTGACGACCGTCCCTTCTGATAATAATCATCTGCTCACTAGTGACAGACTTCAAGAGATACTCCTGGAGTTCTAGTGAGAAGCCGTGACCAGTGGAGTTCAACCAGGTCAGTTGTGAAATATCAGCTCACTGAAGACAATGGTGTACGGTGGAGAAACTTGGTGGATTGGTTGAAGTTAGACATTGACACCGTTGGATGTTGGCCGGCTCAATGGTCTAATGGTTAAGCGCCTAGCGCGAAACTGGTAGGTCCTGTGTTTGAATTTCGAGGGGAGCAGGATCATGGTTGCGCACCGCTGAGGAGTCCCATACTAGAACGAAACGGCCGTCCAGTGCTTCCAGGTTCTCCATGGTGGCCTGGCTTCAAATGACTCATGATTTCAATCAGTGGAACATAATTTACACAAACCTACTTATTTTTGATTACAGAATGGCAAAAAAAACAATGTTAAAGATAGATGTACATAAATCTTACTTGGTGTCATAAAGAATGTATGATTTCGATCACATCTTGTAACATCTTTATCAATTCTATATAAATTATCAGCAAATATTTCTAATGTATTTGGCTAAAATAGTATAAAGAAGGTAACAATTAGGTGGAGAGTGAAGAGAGGAGGGGCAATAAAGGCAACAAAATATTCATAAATATAGCATTATTACTAAATAAGATCATCTAGTTATGTGACGACGGACCACAGGTGAACTAAAGGAAGCTGTAAGAGGCTCAGAAGGAGCCGAAGATGTTCCATCCAATCACCTTTCGGAAGAATATTCTTACGAAAAACTACAAATACCTGACAATTTTGTACTATAATTGACACTGTCTGGGAATAGTATTCTTTTCATTAGTCTTCTGTCTTCTTCTTGCGACTTGGAAGGGTTTTGGTATTCTGGTGCTCTGTTATACGCGGTGTATCAAGAAATCAACATTCAAGATATAACAAGTTACAATAGAATAGGAACTCAACGACTGAATCACACTTGTAAACATACATTAGATATAAGTATTATTAAATGAGTACTTACAAAATACAATTATCTCTGTACTCTGTTAACCTCTTCTGTATAATTCAACATCAGTCAGATCACAGATTATACTAACTATTAAGTAATTGATCAGTCTCTTAATGGCATATGTGAATCTTGTGCGGATCGCCTCGATATTGCCTTAATTCACAAGCTTTATAAACAAAGATGGACAGTGGCTAACAGTGGGATCCAGGACGCACGTTTCGTTCTATTCAGGACTAGTCAGCTGGATGTACCTAGATTCAAAAGTTGACATTTACTTCGGAACATGAACCCAGTACCGTTCGCTTCAAACGCGATAGCATTATTCACTTAGTTACTGAGTAAGATGTTTAAAGTTATGCTAAGCGATATCTTACTGTGACATGTAATTTTCACTATACTATATTACACTTCATTGTGAATTAATTTTGTTATACGTTATAGTTTTTCCTCAGGAAGGTTAGCAAATTCCTGTTTTATAGTTGTATCATAATATAAATCCTAATTTTGAGATGGTGGAGAAGATTTGTAGCTCAGGTGGGTGACTTTGATGGAGCTTTGTTCTCTAAGCTGGATGGTTTGGTCGTGGAGCTTTCATCGTTCTTATGAACGACATCATCGTTCTTCTGAAAGATGAAAGCTCCACGAACAAACCATCCAGCTCAGAAAACAAAACTCCATCATAAATCCTAATGTTTGGATGCCAAAAGTTCGATGCGAACCAAAAGTTCACATTTTCCTCAATGACATTTACAGTTCTTTCACTGAACACTACTTATCAATGGTATTATGCATGCCAAAGTCACAGATAAACTATTCATACACATTCAGTCAGAGTACTGTTAGAGGTATTCATACATATTAGTCGTAAAAAATTCCACTATTTCAGAGAGATAGGTTTCCTCTTTTTCTCAGCGCGTGTTTTGGGAGAAATACGACTAAACTGTTGTGGTTGTGTGGTAGTAGCAGTATAGACTAGACAACCTATATCGACAGACATAAGTAGTATGTAACATTAATCAGAAGTGGATTACGTGACAGCAGAAGGTTGAGTAGATCGAATTCAAGAAAACAGAGAGTAACTATAATAATAACAGGAATGAAGGACCAATGTATTTAGTAAGAGACGACTGATGGAAGACGTGCAAATGAAGTATGTAATGTTTGGATTTCGTATTTTGCGAAGACGTTCTATAATTTTGTATTCACTAATAAATTGATCTTTCCCACATGTATGAGATGGATCAGCAATATCACTGTTAGAAAACACTGGATGCCAACCTAGTGTTTTTAAAGCTTTGGCATTCACTGAGTGATTTGTATGTCTTAGATTCAATCCCTAATGAAGTGTGCACTGCTGAAGAATCACACATATCAACACGAAACAGTCAAAACTACTTAGACCGAAGTCGATCTGTGGTGAATACAACCTTCATATTAAATCAATCTCTACAAAGACCGTTTCAACTAAACTTTTAATACAATTAAACTAACCGAAAATTCACATTGATCTTGAAGTGTATTGCTGATAAATAATTGTGAATCAGTCGAAAGATTTGATAATTTAGAAGTAGATATTTCATTAGGAAGTGTTACTGTTGAAGAACGATTATCTGAGGAATAGAAAGAAGTGGAAAAGATACTTAATGAATATAATTAAATAACATAATGAAGATAAAGTACATTCATGGTTTTAAGAATGTTTGTACGCCTAAGCTCTAGACCACTGAGATGGCATCCAGTGCTGTTAATGTCTAACTTTAATCGATCCATGATCTTGCACAACCATTAACCTATTGTTTGAGGTGGATAACTGTCCCACACTCGACATAGATTGGACTCAATCGATCTCGGTTTCCCACAAGAACTCCAGGCAATCCATCATAAAGGCAGTCACTAGTGAGCACATTATTATTATTATTATTATTGAAATAGGATTTTGTGAAAATCGTAGTGATTCCATTAGTTGAATTCATAAGTCGATGTAAGCTAAACCACAATTGGTAACCTGGAAGCATTGGACAGCCGAGACCGAAGGTCCTGGGTTCGAGTCTCGCGTGCATAAGATTGATTGTAGTGAATTTGTCGGTTTGTGTGTAACACCTCTTCCAAAGATTTTCAGCAATCTCTTTGTGGTTTCCGATATGCATTTAAATTTCTGAGATGTCTCTATTCAAAGTTGATTGAGTTAAGTATTTGCTAGCGTTTTCTGGGCTTCTAGAGACCATAAAGGAGGATATTTTCTGGACTCCGACAAAAAAAACGATTTAAGATGCCGATCGATATCAAGTATTGAATTCACCAGTTATAATTTTGTCAGTTCCAGGTCTACTATACTCTGTTTATAGCATATCGTTTTGACCTACACTGTTAATCTTAAGCCAAAGTAAATTAATCACACTCCTATTAATTTATTATTTACAAACAAACATATTGGATCATATCACATAGTAAATAAAGATACACAGTTATACATAAACAAGCCAAAATTGATTGTGAACTGTTAGGACGGCTTTCGAGGAATACAATGAAGCTTCCAGAGGCTCTAAATGAGCCAACGAGTCTCCATCCAATTAGAACCTGATGAAGCTTTCTAGAATATCAACGTGGTATTCTATGATTGAATGATAGTATAACAATGCCTCCTTAAGGATTGGCTAAATTATAATGATGTTATAACTAATGTTACTATCTATAAATAACCATGTTTTTCTGTACATTATTGATTCTTACTCAATAATCACCTCTCTTACTTCTTTTGTTTTCTGATTTGTAACTATGAGGTCCGAGTACCATTAGTTGTATATCGTATTCAGACGTAATCGAATAGGGGACATAACATGAATAGAGCAGGTTGTAAATATTTGATTGGGGAATAAATGTACTATAATAAACTGCTTAATTGTATTGATAACTAGAATTAATAAGGACAAGTTCCCTATTTGTTTTATGCATCCTTTTATATCCAGATAAGGAATGGTAACGTTTGGGATCTAGTTCTGAGGTAATACTATACGTATATTTTTATCGTAACTAAACTATTCATATTCATGTTTCTCTTATTATAAGCTTTATTTTGACCCATAAACTATTATTATACGATTGAATATTCTTGAATTATGTCCAGTTTATTAATTACAGCTTCCCATACTCACAGCCTCTTTTGGATAGATCTTGTACAAATGTTGTTTCCTATTTTATGGCATGATGTGGTCTGATTGGTTGGTATATAAACCCAGTATGTTCGAAATACATGATTCATATCGTAGACGCTGAGATTAGTGCTCTGGACTCAACAGGCAGGTAGGGCTAGACAGGAAACTGAACCGATAAGGACTCTAGACTGCTCATATGGGTTTTATATGTCATTAGTCTGGTCGATAAATCACTGTCCTCTAATTGGCGGTATCATTACGTTATACATTTACAGTTTACAGGGCAAAAGTTCTAACACATCTTAAGTAAATAATTCATGTTCAAAATATTTAAATATAACTATGAAAATTCCAATGGTTAAGATCATGAGTCAGTTGAAGCTAGATTACCTTGGAAAACCTGAAAACACTGGACGACCGTTTCGTCCTAGTATGGGACTCTTCAGCAGTGCACAACCACGATCCCGCCTCGAGGGATTCGAACCCAGGACCTGCTGGTTTCGCGCTCGATAACTTAACCACTAGACCCCTGAGCCGACACCTAACGGTGTTAATATCTAACTTCAACTAATCCACGAAATTGAGCCACATATCCAGCATTGTCATCAGTGAGTTACTATCTCACAACAGACCCGGTTGAACTCCACGGGTCACTACTTCTCACTAGAACTCCAGGATATACCTCTTGAAGCCAGTCACTAGTGAGCATATGCTGATTAATATCAGATGCGTTTTGTGGATATTATAGTATATTATATTATAATAACTATGAAAACATTAACTTTTGTACAAATGAATACCTACCATGTAAACCATTATCATCATTTACATTATTCTCTAGTTCTACATTGTTTATATCATTTGGTTGTTTTGTTGAGTTCTAAAATATAAAGAAAAATGAAGTAGAAGAATATTGACTTATTCAAACATTCCGATGAGAATGCTTAACTGCTGTGATTAGACAAGAACTGGTGTTTTCAACGTGATATGGTCGCCGACGAGAATTATGGATGGTAACTATTAGAATCTATTTCTGGACTAATACTATATATATGCATGCCGGTTGAGTGGTCTGAATAACAACATAAGCAGAAACTTCAATTAGAAATGAGGTAAATTGAATTATATCAATGTATGTGGATAATTGTAGATACATATTAAACTGGAATGATGTTGAGATTTCGGTTAGAGGGAATATGAAGAAGATTAGAGAAGTTTTAGAAGTTTGGGATTCAAGTCAATCAATAATCAATAGAAATCGATTCAATTTACCAATCAATCAAAATAGTGACAGATAATATAGGATCAAGAATCAGGTTAAGGAGGGGAGCAATCAAAATAAATATCCAGGTAACAATAGGTCATCAATAAACAGTTAAGACTAAAATCTACAGGATAAGCTATCTGTCATATGTAGAGATGAGAAAAAAACCCATTAAGATTATTTCATCTGAGCTACAAATCTTCTCCATTAACCGAATGAATTTACATGGTTTTATTAAAGACTTAGAACGTATTATAATGTTAAACGGTAAGAAATTCAAACGGAAACATAGCAACTGTTTACATTTTTTTCATAGTGGGGCAACGTAAGGAGATGTAGCCCCATGGTAGGCGGTGACCAATAATTTGTTCATATCACACTTGTTCTCTTAGGATCCTGGAGCCCATGTACACCATTGGTTTGGAATAAGGGTTTTCCAACTCCCGTCTGTGGATCCGCCGTATTCACCATTCCGGTTAAAGCTCCGGACATGCGCTTTTCCTCCTCTTAATTTCGTAAACAATAGTAATGCCACGAGAAGGCAGTAAGTAAGACTTCCCTGTCAGGGGTTGTATGCACGTGGCCACTTGAGAGCATTTTGAGAGGGATAGATGACTGTATCCACTCTCGGCCGTACCAAGGCATTTTGGGGCAGGTACTAACTATTGACAACTATGTACATAATTACAATTTACATGTATGTGAAATAGAAATTTATCACATTATTGAATATTTGGTGGTGGTGATTGCTTTTTGGAAACAAAATGTATGATGTTTTTTAGTAGAATCCAGGACGCGCATTTCGTCCTATTTAGAGGCTCATCAGTTGAATGTAAAGTAATGAGAAGATTCAAACAACTGATACATGTGAATTGAAATTTATAATATGAAATAAATGTATTACTATTATGTTTACACAGTATTCTACGTTTAACGTCGACATTATTCACCCCATTGTTTCATCATATGAGAAAAGTACATCAAACACAAGTGTCACTGATGTCTTTAAACGATTTGTTGAGCTATATCACGAATAACTTGAAGTTTAAGCATGATCAAGAGGACTTTAGCACAGTGGTCTAAATATCATGTCTCCACCATGAGATTTCGAAATCTTTGAAATTTGTGAGGATTATAGAGCAGATAATTTGGAGTTTACTACTCTAGTTGTAAAGAAATCCCACTAAGAAATCTATTTTCCCATTTAACTAATAAAATGACATACGAATAGTAATAGTGGTTTTTTTATTTTTTGTAAATAATAAAAACTAATGATCATCTAGAAGAACATTTGGAACTCAAAACAACTGTCTATCAAACAATATCAAAGTCAGAATCTTCAGTAAGAACGTCAAGACAGTTCTATTGTATGGAGCTGAAATTTCGAGAACTACCACAATCTTCATCAAAGGTATACAAGTATTACACAAGATACTCAATATTTGCTGAACGGATACCATAAACAACAGCCCACAATGTGGGAGACAACAGACAAGCTCCTAGTTGAAGAGGAAATTACGAAAAGATGTTGGAAGTGGATAGGACATACATTTCAGAAATCTTCAAACTACATCACGAAGCAAACGCTAACTTGAAATCCTAAAGGGAAACAGAGAAGAGGGAGACCAAGGAACACACTGTGTCGAGAATTGGAAGCGAATATCGAAAGGATGAATAACAACTGGAAAGAATTCGAAACGATTGTTCATGACACAGTTGGACAGAGAGAATGCTGAAGGGCAGCCTGTGCTCCTCCATAAGGGATAACAGGTATAAAGAAGTAAGTAATAAACACTTACCATTGATAATTCATTATCAGCAATAAATTTTGAATGATCTAAACACTCCTTAAATTCAGTTGAATCATTATTAGGTGGAACAATTGCTATGAAATTAGCATATCGAACATCTTGTTTTAAATATTGTACAACACGATTCCATGTATTTAAAGCATTTGTATAAATCTCTTTTTGTTGTATATTGATTGCATTCAACTGTTCACTAGTTGAGTTCCATGTATATAGACCCAATAAATATGGCCATACCTATACATGAAAGGATTAAAGGAAAAAAACATTGTATATGAATAAGCTTCTTCATTGATGAATATGAAATTGATGGTTATGGAATGACTTGAAGTTCCTGAGATTGATGAATATGCATGTGATGAACAATAGAACTCCTTTGGGAGAAGAATAACAGTGTCCACATAACATATGAAAACTATATAAATCAACTACTTTATTTGCACATTTTCAATCGGTTGTCTTTCACAAACTTTATTCCTAGTTCCCTTGATATTGTTTGGCTTGTGTCTTCCCATTGAGGTTTAAGACTTCAATTGATCAGTCTGTTATCGGCATATGTGCATACTGTGCGTATGCCTCGATATTACCTTAATTCACAAGCTATTTGTAAGCAATGATGGATAGTGGCTAGCAGTGGAATCTGGGATGCGCATTTCGTCCTATTTGGGACTCGTCAGTCGGGTGTACCTGCATCTCAGAGTTGATGTTCACTCTGGGACTCGAACCCAGCATCATTCACTTCAAACGCCATCACGTTATCCACTCAGCTACTGAGTCTTAGTTGTTATTACAATTACTTTCTGTTTACATTCCTGTTTACTTCAATTCAGTCTTCTTAATCTTCTGTTACTAGGCAATCCAATTCTGATTGATGTTACATACTATTTATGTCAACAGACATCAGTAACATACACTACACTCATACTGTTATAAAGTCATAATTAGAATCAATTACTGGTCTATTACCATTTCCTTTTCCATATTATTTCGGATGATTTCAATCCATAGTGATTATACATGTATTGAACTGGGAAATCTTAAATATCACTAGAGTATAAATATGATATAATATATGATTCGTATCGAGGAGGCTGAGATTAGCGTTCTGGACTCAAATGTCATATGAGGATAACCAGATGTCTAATCCTCTTTAACTGACAATTTACTGAATAAATGAATGGGAGAACCCTAGACATTGCACATACCCATCGAACATTGAGAAGCAAATGCATTACAAATTGATAGATACATGCTCTCTCCATAAAACGTAATGGGTGAATCTCTAAATAGTCTTTATTAACCTATAATTTCTTCATGAACTCCTGATTTTAATTATTTGAACTGAGTCGATAGTAGAAGAGTGCAAAATAAGTTTCTACTTAAAACAAAGAGTATGATAAGAATATAAATTTATTTGGTTGAGACCATGAATCGATTGATTTTAGACCTCAATTGAAAATCTGTAGCCACTAGACGGCCAATTTGACCTACTGTGCGACTCCTCAGTAGTGAGCACCCACGATCCCGCCCGTGGGATTTGAATCCATGACCTTCGGTCTCGCGCGTGAACGCTTAACCTCTCGATCACTAATTCGACATCCAACGGTGTTATTGTTTAACCTCAACCAATCCAGCTAATTCATGTCGCATAGAGACAGGTATCTACCACAGTTAAGCGTTCGTGAGCGAGACCACAATTCCAGGTTCAAATCCTACTAGCGGGGTCGTGGGTACGCACTACTGAGGAATCCAACAATAGAACGAAACGGCTGTTCAGTGCTTCCAGTGTTTCAATGGTGATCTAACATCAATCGATTAGTGATCTCATATAAAAACTTTGCGATCTTCACAACTTCATATTGATAATTAGTAGTATAATTATGATTTACCTCATTTCTAATTGTTGGATCACAATTACCAAAATAAATATAACGACAAAGTTCACTGAATGGGATTTGCTGTATATATAAAGAATAGAACAATATAATATGTACAATATGTGTGAATGTGACTTTTTAAACAAAAATTATAATTTAATTCATTTTTATATTGATTGTTCAACTTATCCCATTGATGTTTAGGACTGAATTGGATCAGTGTCATATTGACATAAATGCATCGTGTGTGGATTGCTTCAATACTACCAATAAGCTACAAGCATTATAAACAATGAATAATGGTGGATAGCAGTGGAAACAAGTATGCGCGTTTCGTCCTATTTAAGACTTGTCAACTGCATGTACCTACATTCCAGAGTTCATATTCGCTTCGAGACATGAACCCAGTACTCTTTGCTTCAAACTGTTCAGTCTTATACATCAGAGAAAGAGTATGTATATAGGTAACTATGTGTATATATCTATAACCTTTCGTTTTTATATTGCTTATCCTAATCTGTTCAATCTGGTTCATCTACTTTTAATTAATGCAGAACTTCAGTAGATAAATCATGCTAAGGTATGCACTGAATTTATCAGTTCAAAAAATTTACTGCGATGGTCAATCAGACCAGTCGATGATAGTTCCAGTTATGCGGTTTATGACAATTGTATTGTATACGTTGTGGTATTAAAATATTGACAACAGTGTATTGAACGAGAACACCGGTGAGGATAACCGAATGTATTTAAACGCAAAAATTACAAAATCCCTTAGTAAAATCTGAGAAGCATACAATGAAATCTTCATCGCTGAGGGCAGGATCGTGGATGGGCACTGCTGAGTAGTCCTATACTAGGACGAAGCGGCCGTCCAGTGCTTCCGGGTTTTCCATGGTGGTCCGGCTTCAATTGACTCATGATTTCATCCAGTGAAATCTTCATTTGCAAAATGTCAGTCAATTGTCTCAGACTATGCCACTCATTCGTTTCTATACCAATCATTCACTGTTCTCGTTCTCTTCCATCTTCTTAACCTTCTGCTGCCAAACATTTCACTTTCAAATAATGATACATACTACTTATATCTATCGACATCAGTAACACACATCATAACAGTAATACGGTTCTAAAGGTAACCAATAAGCTAACCAATCGGATGTTAAAGATTCAGAAATAGTTATGAAACAACTATCCGGATAACTTTGGTTTCGCAATACTTCAACAGTTTACATTATTTTATTTTTAGGTGTTCATAATCAAATTCAGTGGAACAATAAAACATTCTGTTATTTTTTTTGTTAGAATCCAAAATCATCCGTTCTGTTTTCGTGATGAATACGGTGGTCTTGAGTGATGTTTAAAGGTATGTGGACGGTTATTACCTCCCGGTTCTTCTAGAGGTATCTGAAAAGGAAATTAGATTACAATTGGTCTTAGTGACCTGAGAGCATGACTGTAGTACCCAAAGGACAGTTGCATGAGGCCGGTCACATATGACGTTTTTATGGGTCATATTTTTTTGTATTTTCTTGATGAAAGTTAACTAAAGCCATAAATCAATCTACTGTAAACGATACTGAATACATTCAAGGTTTTGCATAATATATATGTATTTAGAGATTATCACTACTAAGGTAAATAAAAGTATATTGCATGTTTTCCATAGTAATCAACCTATAGCACGGTACAGTTATACATTTGTTCAAGTTGCTACACCATGTTAGAAAGCTGATGTGTAAATAATAAAATGAATGTTATGATATTTGAAGTATAAGATGTATCAGCGACAGAAGAAAAAAAGGAGGGAAGGTTACAAAAAAGGGGGGTATGATCCAGAAAAAGATAATGAATTCGAGAAATAGTTATCATGAAATATCATTGATCATGATCTAGAGATAGATAAAATCCATATGAGACTATATCACCGCTATTGGCTTTGATTTACGTCACCCAATGTCACAAAATATCATACTTGAATATCTCATTGACCCTAGCTAGTTGGACTTAACTTACCAATACTACTAATATCAACATTTGATGATTTTGTGGACTGATGCCAAGTCTTACTTGGTCAAATTGAGCTTCCTTTTAGTTATATTCAACAGCTGCCCCCCTCGATCATTGTTAGTCTATTAAATGATGGTCAAGCATACGTATAACATGTCCCAGATTTTGTAATCGATGAAAATTTATTATTACATCAGTCACTTGTCAATCGTTACTTACTACTCTAAATGTAATATGGTGTTAGATAAAAGACAACTGTTTTTTCTTCAGACAACTAGCATAATAGCGATGGTGCTTTCCCACAAGCAGGGGTAGGTTTAGAAATAATCGATCCTAAAAATGTACATCTCGCTTATCCTATGGATATCCGTCTCCCGCGGTAAGATCTAAACAAGTGCGGAGCTAACACGAAAATTTCTCTCAGAAAGGTTGTATGTGACCGACCTCAAGCAGTTGTCTCTTGGAAACTGCGGTCACGCTCTCAGGTCACTAAAATCAAATCTAATTGTTGGGGAAATCCAGAAAACTCCTCGACAAAAAAAGCCAAAAATGTCTTTGAAAATACTGACAAGCATCTTATCTAATCAGCATTCAATAGAAGTTTTGCTAGAAACATCTCGAAGGTGAAAAGTCACATTTTGAGTTTCTGGTTGAATGATTATCTGTACTGCTACTATGTTTAGTAGCGTTGCAGAATATTCTGGAAACCCAAGAATATCTAAAATACTATATGAACCCTGCATTTTCTATACATAACGAACTTTTGGAGTAAAGCGTTTCTAGCATATTTTGCGCTTTTTCGTTTGCATTCAAGTTGCTGTGTAGACGTAACCTGATGATTGCTAGAAGAGCTTAGAAATAGAATCTACCGGTCAATTAGAGGACTTATCAATAACAATTTCTATTGAAAGCACTTAAGTACATTTTGAACAAGCACTCAAAAGCTGGGAAAACATTAAAAATCTCCCAGGTCTTCCAAAGTCGTCTAGCTTCATCATCTCAACTATTGAAATTTTTAAAAAATCTCCACAAAACCCCTTCTGATACTAATCAACATATGCTCATTAGTGACTGACTTCAAGAGGTATTTCCTGAAGTTCTAGTGAGAGGCAGTGACCAGTGGAGTTCAACCAGGTCTGTTGCGAGATAGTAACTCACTGATGACAATGGTGGATGTGTTGCTCAATTTCGTGGATTAGTTGAATTTAGACATTAACACTGTTGGATGACGGCTCAGGGGTCTAGTGGTTAAGCGCTCGCACGCGAAACGGATGGGGCCTAAGTTCGAATCTCGCGGGGAGCGTGATCGTGGATGCGCACTGCTGAGGAGTCCCACAATAGAACGAAATGGCCACCCAGTGCTTCCAGGTTTTTCATGGTGATCTAACTTCAATTGAATCATGGTCTCAACTATTGAAAATCTTTTTTCGAACCAGAGATTTCTAGAAAAAAATACTACGTCATAGACTGATCGGATTATTACCAATTCAGTTATGAATCTTCGAACGTTTTCACACATAGACCCATAGGTATATTCCTTATCTGTACCTAAGCTAAATTTGAAGGTGTTTACTTTTCATGAATCTTACAATCTATCTTGATTTCGTGGATCAAGTCTAAGAGATCTCTATGGACTAGGAAGCATTCAAATACCTGAACTTATCAGTTTCATAACGACGAGAAATTACTTTTCAGCATGAAGATTTAAAACTGGATTATTTAAGTTAATTACATCGTATGAAGATGGAGTTTTCATCAAAAAATTTGAAACCCCTCAACAGCATAGTCCGAAAAATTCATGGTGGGATTTAAAGATGTAGAAGAATATTCAAACAATACAATAAACGTCCAAATTTACATGATTAGCCGTCATATTCATAATATATAATCTATCATGAACAGACTATATTATCACAGTATAAATGAAGAAGTGATCTCAGTTAGACCACCATTAGAAGCATGAATCACTAGATGGCTGTTTCATCCTAGTATGGAGATCCTCAGCAATGCGTAGCCACGATTTCACACGTGGGAATCAGACCCAGAATTTTCAGTCTCACACATAGACGTCTAACCGCTAGAAAACTGAGCTGGAGCCCAAAATTGCTAGTTTCTAACTTCAGCTAGTGTATGATATTGCTCAACCTTCAAAAATTGTCTTCTGTGGATAATTATCACACATTAAACCCCACTAGTCACAGCTTCTCACCAGAACTCCAAGAGTTACATCTTGATGCTGGTCGCTAGTGTGCACACGATTATTATTATTGAATTGTGCGATTTAACAACTTAATGGTGATTATGTTGATGAAGTGTAAAATGAAAGACTTACTGGAATAGAATTTGTCATTAATTGATTCCAAAATTCTACAGTGACACCTTCTTCAGCATTTGTTGGTGAATCAACTGTTAAAAAATTAGGTGATACAAGATCAGCTAACTTTTTACGGACTGTACGTAGTTTATTAAAATGATTGTACCCTGAAAAGGAATACAGTAATTATTTAAGTAATAAGTCTAATCTCATTGAAATTCATAAGCAAAGAGTAGACTTTAAAACCTACAATTTGTATAAAGAGGTGATAAACCAATGTAGGTGAAGAGAGTTTGAATGATGATTTCTTTTGGCAACACTTTCTTACCAAATTTATTTATTATAACAGATTAACACTTTGATTTGTCAGTATGGGGTTGTGGAGATTATTATTATGTTTTTGAATGAGATCGTGAATCGATTGATGTTAGATCACCATTTAAAACCTGGAAGCAGTGGATGGTCGTTTAGTCCTATTGTGGGACTTCTCAGCAGTGCGCATTCACGATTTCGCTCGTGGGATCCGAACTCAGGAGCTTTGGTCTCGCGCGCAAACGCCTAACCTCTAGACTACTGATCTGGCATCCAAGTAGAGACAAGTACCTACCACAGTACAATGAAAGATGGTCGTGTAATTTAGTGGATTGGTTGAGGTTAGACATTAACACTGTTGGATGCCGGCTCAGTGATCAAGAAATTAAACGTTTGCACGTGAGACCGAAGGCCCTAGGTTCGATTTCCTGCGAGCAAGATCGTGTTAGATCATTGACTTAACAGTATCAAAGTAACAGGCATTAAAATACAAATAAAAACAGGCACTTTCACATCAGGTTTAAAATATTCGTTACGAAAACTATTACAGATGACTATGCAGTGTGAACCGATAAAACTTCTTTATTAACTCATTTACCGAGTACAGATTAGTGTACATAGTTTCGATCAACACTGTGTGATGGCTATTAATAATATCCAATTGCTTACACAGAAGTAGGAGGATCAAGGTTCGAATCTGTCACAATGAATGCCAAAAACTCGAAGCACTGACCCACTACAACACTGATTCTTTTTACCGTGCAAAAAACATAGTTATCACAATGGGTGTATGCTATCAGTTATGAAATCAATAGTCAACACTTTCAACTTCAATTAATCTGCTCTATAGGATGATGTTCATCTAATTTCAATGAACAGGCCAATTTATCCATCCTTACTGAGTCACGTTTTTACCTCGTTACTTATTCACTTATCAATCTTGACTGTCTTTGCATGAGCGTATATCTGTGTGCACATCTTATCCCATTCACCACATGCCTGTAGCTTAATTCTGTAAGACTATAAATATTGGTTAGGGCTTGGTTAAATGGAGTTGGCTCACATGCCTTCTCCACTGCGCGTCATTTCGCTTCACTCTCTTCTCTTTGCTTCTTTCCTGTGATCGCCTGTCCAGATCAATGTGTACAAAATAAACGTACTCAAAACATCCTGTAGTGAACATGAACACCAACGGGGGTCAATCGAATGTAGTTCACAGGACATTACAGAAATTGTTAATAAAATCGAACAATCATAAAAGTAAATGCTTAATTTGCAAAATGTCAACTGGTTCATTCAAAATGACTCAGACCTCATTGTTCTTGCATTTTCATGCAAATTACATTCTGTTTCCATTCTTTACTATTCGATCCTCTTGTCTATCTGGTGCCAGACATTCTGTTCTTGACTAACGTCATGCACTATTTATGTCGATATAAAGTAGCACACATCACAATCCATTCTCGTATTTCACTGATTTTAATTCCGTTATTGACCAACATGATTCAAGTCAATGACTATATACGAGAATAAGTGACATATATATCTCAGTAGTAATCAGAAATAATCAAATTGGAGTCAGATCTTGGGTCACTAAAGATTCAAACCGTTGAGCAGGTTACGAACAGAAGTTTAATGTAGAATATAGTTTTCTTTTTTGTTGTTGTTGCTTTCAATAATAATAAATCACATCAATAGTTGTTAGGAAACTGGTACAAGGAAAGGATGGCAAATCAATTGATGAAGTAGTGAAACTATATCAGTTGAGATGGTTGGGACACGTGTTACGTATGCCCAACCACCGGCTGCCCCGACGAGCGATGTTTCATGGTGTAGGAGTAGGTTGGAAGAAAGGTTGGGGCGGCCAGACCAAAACATGGCACAAACCCATGAAGTCACTGACAAGTCGACTGAACCATGTTGGTAAGTGTAGACTACCTAGTTGGGATCCGTGCTATGATAGCAACCGATGGTTAGAGACCTTGAATGACATGGTTCAAAATCGTTTGCAATGGCGCAGGTGCATCCACTCTTTGTGTTCTCCCAAATTCTAGTCTCCTGAATTCTCCTTATCTCTTTTTTTCTTTTTCCAAATTTATTCCATTGGATTATACTCATTGAATAACATCTTCAAACTCTAATCTTTTCGATTACTACTTATCCTTTTACTACCTCTACCATTACGGGACTTGAATCGACAACTGTATCTCTGTGCTAATGTGGCATGGCAACTTGAAGTGATGTACGTACGTACAAAGGTTTTACGTTGTTACTGACTAACTGACTGACTGACTGACTGACAACTTTAAATCTGTCAATGAACAAAATAGGAGGAGACTTACATTTATGAAATACATGCGATAATATTTTATTACGTAATTTCTTGAATACATCTTTATGTATAGATAGTTGATTGTTTGACTGTCCAATAATATCATCTGATTCATTGATAGTTTCTTCTGAAATACCATCTAAAGTGAGTCGTTTCGATAATACAGATGATGTATTGATATTATTCATTATTCCCTTAGAATGAAAGAATATCATTGAAAGAAAAGATTATCTAGTCGAATGAATGAATTGATTTATGTTAGACCATCATTGAAAACTTGGATATACTGAATATAGAATCTTTGTACTGTGCCAAACCAATGCATGTTTGATCGGTATGAACAACAGCCTAGTGTACTTTTTTAACCCTTTGTTCGATAAGCCCATCCAGTTGAGCTCAGAGAACAACAATCATAGCTTTCAATATACCAATCATTTATTTCAAACATACTTGGTTTATATACAAGCCAAACAGACTGTATCACATCATAAAATAGGAAATAATATGTATACAAGATCAAGTCAAAAAGTGACTGTGAACGTGGGAGACTGTAGTTAGTAAACTGAACGTCATTTAGGAACAGTATTCGAATGAAGCTTATAATAAGAGGAATATAGATATACAAAGACTAGTTATTGAATAGTCATGCAATGACAATATATATACATAATATTAGTCCATTAACAGTTGATGGTATGTCAATTGATGAGGTTTTGAATCTTCATCGACTGAGATGGTTGGCCTACATGTTGCGTATACCTGAACACTGATCACCACGACGCCCAATGCTCACTAGTATTAAGGATGGTTGGAAGAAAGTTAGGGGTGGTCAAACCAAAACATGACATCAGTCTTGGAAGTCACTAACTTCTAGTCTGAGCCATGTTGGGAGATGTAGAATACTTGGTTAAGGTCCGCGTGACTATCGCGATCAATAGTTGGAGACTCTGAGTGACATGGCTCAGAATCGATCACAATAACGTTGTGTGTATACACTCTCTGTCTTCCTTTAAACTATGAAATTAAAATCGCTTCATATCTTTCTTTCTACGAACTAATTCTCCCTTCTTCTATAATATCTTTATATACAATCTCTCTTTTATATATTACTACCATTGAAGTGACTAGTTCTATGAATTCGGTGTTGACGTTGTTGTACCAATCAGGTATGGCAACTTGGACGGATGCATATATGTGCCTGGTCTTAAGTTGTAGCTGACTGAATGACCATTAAGTGTCCACAGAAGTTACCCGTAACTTGATCTTTACAAGGATATAACACTTAGTATAGAACACCTCGTGTGCACTTATCCTATTCATCATATATCGGTAATCTATTCTTATCTGGCTATAAATCTTGATTACCGCTTGATTAAATCATGTTGGGTCACATATTTACTCTACTGCACGTCGTTTTGTTTCGTTCCTCTGATTGTCTGTTCAAATCAATGAGTATACAAAGTATACGCATTCAAAACATCCATTCTTGTATTTAGCTTATTTAATTTCGTTATTCACCAACACCAGTTAAGTCAATCATTATATACGAGAATAGATGACATGTGTACTTCCATTAGTATTCATATGATTCAACTGAAGTCAGATAAGGGGTCACTAAAATAAATTTGTCTGTTTTAATTCATTGAACTTTCATTCTGACAAAATATATCACGATTGAATTGAATCTAATCAGATTCCAGCTAATGGGTTTCAACATTACAGCTGAAGTCATTGTAACTGAACATTATAGGTTGAATACAAACTATCTACTTTCCACTTAGCATTATGGTCAAATTCTAACGAATATGTTAGTCAAGATCTGACGTTGGTTATTATTGGAGTTCAACTGGGTCAGTTGTGAGATAGTAACTCACTGATGATAATGGTGGATGTGTTGCTCAATTTTGTGGATTAGTTGAAGTTAGACATCAACACAATTGGATGACGGCTCAAAGGTCTAGTTGGTTAAGTGCCTGGCGTGAGACCGATAGGTCTTGGGTTCGAATTCCGCGAGGCGGAGTCGTGGATGCGCACTGCTGAGGAGTCCATCAATAGGACGAAACGGCCATCCAATGCTTCCAGGCTTTCCATGGTGGTCTAGCTTCAATTGACTCATTATCTCAACTATTGAAATTACTACAATCTCCACAAAACCCCTTCTGATATTAGATCTTTATTGTTTAGTATGATTCATTAATGTGATCATTCATTTTTCAAAAGTGTTCACACATAATAAGGAAGTGAGCAAAAGAAATACTATCAAGAATATGAGTGATACTGGAAAAAATTGAATACCAATAAAAGAAAGAATCAATAACAGCGACTATCAAGAAGGCATCCAATTTTTTTATTCGTAATACCCCAGTCATGTTATCTCAACCATCTGTAGTGACTCACATTTATCACGAGAACACGACTGGTTTAATAAAAACAATTACTATTATAACCAACTGTACCAGCGTTTGTTTTAATGTGATTTTATTTAACTGTGCTAATTATAGCCATTTTGTGCTTCCATTAACTTCCATCATTGTTCCGCGGTTTTTGGTACTGTTCGTACGTACCCCTTTCTCCTGCTTCCGCTTGTACTGTTCCTGGCACGATCTTGGTATTCGTTCGATACCACGAGATCCCCAGCAAATATATCTCGACTTGGTCCATTAACTGCCTTCTGATATTTGGCTTCCCGGGGGATTTTTTAGAGTCATTTGGCACGTGTTTCTCTGTAGCTGTGTTCATAGGTAATCTCGACTCGACGCCACGCTACACATCCATTTTATAAAATCTAGTTGATCTAATTATACATTCAACTTATAGGTGCAATAATAGTGCCATTAACAACCATTTAAACACAATATTTACAACTTATTTACGTTAAGTAATTGACATATATCTGTGTCAGTGAATACGAGAAAGTTCGAGTAAACTTTAACAAGTGAGTCATGTTCAATATCAAATTGGAAAATCTTTTTTAAACTATTTGAGCTACTTAAAAATTAAATAGTAGTATATAATATTTAAGAAAACTTTGAGGTGTTATCACACATACCATTGCATGACTATCTCTAGTTTTAGATGCAATCAGATAAACATGTTGAATAGGACATTTTTCCTCTGGTATACAAATAGAAGGTGATGAATATGGTGTTTGTAATTCTTCATCATTATTCATATCATCTGTATGATTAAATGCTTTTAAAATATTCATATAGATACGTTGTCTCAGTTTTGAACTTGTTAATGATAATGATTGATTTAATTTAGAAGGTTTATTGTAAAGTGTAGATGGATAGTTTTGAGATGATGTTATGGATGAATTTGTCTTAGTATCATTGTTTGTTATTGATGTTGATAGAGGAGGTGATAATGAATTACGATTACCGAAAATGAATGGCATTGATGGACGATAAGATTTCATGGAATATTCTGATGTGACTAAGAGGTAAATGAAGAAATTATTCTTTTGTAACAAAATATATGCACACAAAATGTAATTGATTTGTCTAAAAGTCATTGAATACAAAGTAATTGGGTTGAAGACTTAACTTAGGTAACTAGGTAGTATGAATTGCATTCGAAATATACATAAATGTAGACTTAGTTCCACTCTCGGATGAAATCCTCTCACTGTCCTACTTATAGCTGATTGTTTGGATATATATCCACTCATGTTAACTCTTCCTTATTGAGACTCAAATTCAAATAAATAGCTTCAGATATTATAGCTTTATTTATGTGGCTAGACGAATTAAAATAAATGCTAACCTTTTTTAATGTGTAAAACAATAGTCGTTTGTCACGAGTTGATCGTACTTCATTGTTAGTACTGTTGTAGTGAACACCACAGGGGTGGGAACAATCGAATGTATTCAACACAAGATTACAGGACTTGTTAATAAAATCTAAATGTCCATCAGTTGTCTGATAATGACTCAGACTTCATTGTTCTTGCATTTTCATACAAATTCCATTCTGTTTCTATTCATTACTGTTCGATCCTCTTGTTTCTCTGCTGCCAGACATTCTGTTCACGACTAACATCATGTACTACTTATGTCAATATAAGTAGCACACACCACACCGTTAGTTGAAATAATTACTTTTAATCATCCAGAACTTCTAGAAATAGATAAATGTCGCAATTCAGTAATATGAACGGAAATCTACTTATATATACTACTTATATATGTTCGCTTAAGTAGCGTATACTACAGTATCATGAAGAAGATGGGTTTGTTGAATTCATTATTTCATTCATGACACATATTAGAAATTTGTAAAACGTTAAACTAAATCACACGTAGATACTGAGTAGTGATAAACGTCACACTTGTATAGTTCTTTGTGCTGATCAAATTCTCTCGATCAAATGTCGATGAAGCTACCAGTCGAAATGACTCTCGATGTCATACATCATGTTTAAATGTTAGATAGTTTAAAGATTTAAGCCTGAATTACAACTGAAGTCATTGAGATACATCATTTCCTTCAATACTAAAGGTAAATCATATTGTGTATAGATATCGATGGATATACAACTAAAGTTTAGGGTATTTCTAACCACTACATCCAAAATATTGTTATCTATATATATATACAAATCAAAGAAATAATATCTCATTTCACCTGATGTAGATGTATCCAATTCACAAGATGGATTCAAATAACCACCACGTTGTTTTAAACCTTGTTCTAAACAATTTAAAAATGTAAGAACATGACTTTGTGCATAAAAATGAAATGGAGCTAATTGGATTCCATCATTTCGAATGAATGTTAGTATATATTGATTATCTGTAAAAGAAATAAACTATATAAGCTAAATGGTATATATTTACTTGATACATTAAAGTAAGAAAACATTAAGAAGGCCTAAGATATAGGCGAAGTTGAAGTTATCACGAGTTCACTTAATCTGCGAACAAGAAACAAGATTCGGTGACCAAAGACCAGCAAATTTGGTGACGGTGGTTTCAGAAACGTGGATCCTTCTAAATTTGAATTATTACTCAAGCAACAGATGAAACTTATTCAGATGTTAGCGGATACAAAGCTTACGTCTAATACTCAATCAAGCAATTCTAATCCTACTACTACTACTACTACTACTACCGCACCATCAGTTGATGGTATCGCTAACAGTACCTCTGAGTTTCATTACGATCCGGAATCCAATGTCACGTTTGATATGTGCTTTCGTCGTTACAAAGACTTATTCAAATTTGAGTTTGCTAACCAGGATGATGCTTGGAGGGTCCGCTTGCTGCTTAGAAAGTTGGATCCTAGTGAAGTAGACAGGTATTGCAACCTAATTCTGACTCATTCTCGGACACTATCCAGTCATTGAGCCAACAATTCGGAGACAACTCCTCACTATTCAATATGCACTATCGATGTCTGAAGCTCACTATGAACGAAGATGCTGATTTTCTCACACATGTGGGTATCGTCAACCGACAATGCGAACGCTTCCGATTGAAGTCGCTTACTGAAGACCAATTTAAAGCACTCATTCTCATCTGCAGCCTTCAATCTCAGAAGTTCAGTGATATTAGAACACGTTTGCTAAGTCGATTGGACCAAGACCCAAAACTAACTCCTAATGATATTGCAAACGAATATCAATGCCTAATCAATCTACAGCATGATATTACGATGGTCCAGCTTGGTGGTTCAGATCGTACCGAAGTTCATGTAATCCACAAATGGATCCTAAAACTTACCACTCATAATTATTATCGGGGCATAACAATATAAAAAAGAGTTGAATATATTACTAATCAATTTCAGTAGTATGTAGGTTGAAACAAGTCGATTACAGTAGTATTTAACATGACTTTAACGTTTTTCGTTTGAGTTTAGTTAAATTAACTGACAATATCGATTATATATATTTGTATAAATACGCTTGATTTGTGTGCCTGATTGACCTGGTATCTTCTGGTTGTCTGTAGAATACATTTTCTACATCTTACCAAGACTTCTGGATCGCGTTAGCTGAGTCGAGAACAACGGACCAGTACTGCCTCTCGAGCATCTGAGTCCGTAATTCTTCGTTCCGCTCCGAGTAAGACGAATCAGTAGTAGCATTCAAGTTAACGATGATCAGAGTTAAAACTTAACAATCTCCACAACCCTTATACTGATAAGACAATTAATTATGTGATCTATTTAAACAAATAATTAACCACCATCAGAAACCTGGAAGCATTGAATGGCCGTTTCGTTCTATTGTGGGACACCTCAGGAATGTGCATTCACGATCTCATCTCGCGATCGTCTAGTGCTTTCAAGTTTTTCATGGTGGTCTAACTTCAATTAATTCATAATCATAACTATTAAATAATTATCAGAAGGGGTTTGTGGAGATTTTTAGAAATTTTCACAGATTGAAATCATGAGTCAGTTGAAGCTAGACCACCATTGAAAACCTGGAAGCACTGGACGGCCGTTTCGTCCTAGTATGGGACTCCTTAGCAGATATCAGCTCACTGAAGACAATGATATATGGTGACGCAACCTCGTGGATTGGTTGAAGTTAGACATTAACACCGTTGGATGCCGGCTCAGTGGTCTGATGGTTAAGTGCTCGCGCGCGAAGCCAGTAGGTCCTAAGTTCGGGCATCGCGTGGTGCGGGATCGTGGATGCGCACTGCTGAGGAGTCCCATACTAGGACGAAACGGCCGTCCAGTGCTTCCAGGTTTTCAATGGTGGTCTAGCTTCAACTGACTCATGATTTCAATCTGTGAATATTAAATAATTAACCAAATAAATAATGAACACACTTACTAAATTCATGTAAATGTCCATAAACAACATCAGACATTTTGATTTTAATTGCATAACCCCAATAAGCTCTAGGTACAAGAAAATGTTATGAAAAAATAATCAATGAGCATTTGAATACTCGAATGCTAGAACTCTCTTAAGTCGTAAATGAGAAATCAGAAGACAAATGAAAAAGAATCCTATTCCAAAACAGTGTCAAATATGGTGACAAAACTCTCAGGTATACATATAGTTTTTAGTAAAAACGAAATTATCTTTAACGTCATACATGGAGTTTTCAGTATTTCTCTAATAGGGAATATTTTTCCAAAAGATGTTTGGATGCAGCTTCTTAGAGCTTCCTCGAGTTCACCTGAGAGATGTTCTCGCATAGTATGATTCAGTTAGATGAACACCTTATTACGTAATCAATAGTGTTGCATCGGACGAGAATATAAATGGGAACAATCGAAGGTATTTCAGTACAAAGTTACAAAAATCTTTTAGTATAATCTGATAACCACACAGTAAATAATTCATTTGCAAAATGTCAATCAATTATCTGAAGCTTGACTATTCCATTTTGCAAATATCAGTCAGTCGTTTCAGACTTCGTTGTTCTTGTTCTTTTCTCTTCGATCTCCTTAACATTCCGCCATCAGGTATTTCACTTTCGGTTGGTGATACATGCTGCTTATATCTGTCGACATCAGTAACACACACTTAACTATAATTAGCCTTGAATAATGTTATAAAACTGATCTACCGGATGGTTTAACATGTTTCACTCTCCCTCTCTCTCTCTGGCATACTTTGATAATACGACAATACAATAATGAGATTAGTCACGTTATATCAGATCGTACATTCATGCCCTAGAATTGTGAACCAGAGTATAAACTAGACAATACTTTATTCTACACAATTACAAGCCACCATACTCAGTGATTCCAGAGTAGAAATCAATGAGAGGAAAAGAAACAAACAAAGTTCCTATTTGTTCACGTCCAGTGAGTAATTATATTTTAGTGTTACTTTATTTTATTGATTTATTTAAACACATAAACACTGGTACAAGGAGGTACCGAATACATATGCGCCACATAAATCGTCCGATATATGTACGGGCTGGAATACTGCCCGTGTGTCCAAACAGAAGTAGGCGGATTTCTTAGAGGGCCGCACACGGAGCCTTTGACCTAAAGGTCTGATCCACAAGGCGGTGGAGCAACGTTAGGAGATGCAGTCTCATGGTAGCCGGTGACCAATAATTGATTCGTATGCCATATTTTCCTTCATGATCCTGGAGCCTATGTGCACCATTGGTTTGGAATGAGGGTAATCCAACACCCCTAAGTGGATCCTTCATATCCAACAAACCGGTTCAAGAGCCGGACATTCGATTTTCGTCCTTTCAATTTCGTAAACGACACTCGTGATGTAAGGAGGCAGTGAGTAGATCTTCCCTGACAGTGATTGTATGCACGTGTCCATCTGAAAGCATTTTGAGTGGGAGAGTTGACTCTCCACACTCTCGACCGTACCGTAGTATACACCTATCATAATAACTTCTATCAAATAGTATAAATTATAAATACATTGACTGGTAAAACAAAAGACCGACTAAAATATGATTTCAATTTACTCTTTTTCATTTAAATCATCTAAATCAAGTCTTGAATCCAGTATTGATTCATTAGAGAAACAAAATTCTTCATTATGATTATTCATTTGTGGAGTAGTTACAGCTGAATTAGGTGTCCATTTAAGTACAATCAATTTACCACATTCACCATCGATTAAAGATAAATAACCAGGTATTGGATTTGATGAATTGGACTAAAAGTAAAAATAAAAAAGGGTAATAGTTCTATTTCGAGACACATTTTCATGTTTAGTTTTTGATTCAGACCATGAACCAATTGATGTTAGACCACCATTGAAAACCTCGAAGCACTGGACGGCCTTTTCGTCCTATTGTGGGACTCCTCAGCAGTGCGCATCGAAGATCCCGCTCGCGAGATTCGAACCCATGACCTGCAGTTTCGCGCGCGAACACCAACCAATCCGCGAAACTGCGCGACCACCTTCGTATTTAGCTTGTTACAAGTCATGTAATCTAGAAAAGACATGTGTTTTGTCTTTTCTATTTAAATTTGGATGCGATGGATTTGTGGATGAACCAATCAGGTATAAGATAACAAGTCTCGGATTTTGGAAAGAAATTCGCCCATTCATTTGGCTAAATAGAGTTTTGGCATTATAGCTGATGTCAGTTCTTAATGTGAAAACCATAAATCTAATCCCTATTCCTAACCATCAACTGTAAATCATAATCTTCAGCCTTTACACTGGTTTAAAACTCTCATTTGATCCCAATTATCAGGCAAACACTCTCAAAGTCAGCCTAGCTCCGCTCAAAGGTCATCCGTAATTATGGCCTCACCAATGTTTACATCGGGAGTCAAATCCCAGGAATTTACTCTTTCAGTTATGTCAGATATTCGACTAGATTTCATAATTCATACAACTAATGAATTGTTTCTAGGCGTATTTTTGTATTTTTGCATGGATACATAAAAAAAATGAAACTCGAGGTTATTTTGAGGTACACCTCTCACTATGCAAACATGCCGATAGAGACTAACATTAACGAATCTTTTTGAAGCTGATCTACTATTCATGGATGCATTAAATATAACCTTTCGCTTTTGGTTACATAGATATACATCTAAATAGACAAGAAAATAAGTTAATAAAGAAATTGGGTCAAAAACTTATGCACTGCGAAAGTCGTTGGCAATCGACCAATCGATTCAAGCATGAACTCTTCATCAAGTTTCTTATCCTTTCATATCCTTAATGTTCTCTTCCAGTATTGAACTATTATCTGACCCATAAATTATTTTCCTACTTACCCCTTGATTAGTACGTAACCTCATTTGTTATTTATTCATTTTTATGAAGCAATCTTTTCTATCCTCCTAAAGACATCTATTTTCAATAGTTGACATCATGAGTCATTTTAAGCCAGAATACCATGGAAAACCTTGAAGCACTGGACGGCCGTTTTGTTCTAGTATGGGACTCCTCAGAAGTGCGCATCCATGATCCGACCCCCGTGAGATTCGATCCCAGGTCCAATCAGTTCATACAACTATATATACGAATGTACAGTATAAGTAAATGATTATATGGTGAGACTATAATTTATGGATGAACCAATCAGATATAAGATAAAAAGTCTCGGATTTTGGCACGAAATTCCTTTATGGGACATTAAAGTGACCTTGAGAATGTTCACCGAATGAGGTTTATAAACCAGTAAGAGGAATTAGAATTATGATTTACAGTTGATGGTTTGGGTTAGGAATTAGATTTCAGGTTTTCATCACGAACTGATATCAGCTATAAAACCAAAATTCTATTTAGCCAAACGAATAAGCGAATTTCACGCCAAAATCCGAGACTTGTTATCTTATATCTGATTGGTTCGTTCAGATACTATAGTCTTGCCGATTTTATTGAAAAGGAAATTTGTTCATTGAATTATTTTTATGTTTATTAAATTGAATATGTGACTAGCTTCAAGATCGAACTTCTGGAGTTCTAGTGAGGTGTCATAACCAGAGGAGTCCTATCCACCTCACACAATGAATGAAGAGTTGCACAAGATCATAGATCGATTGGAGTTAGACATTAACACCGTTGAATACCAGGTCAATGGTATAGAGTTTAGGAGTTCTTATGGGAGATTGAAAGTCTTGGGTTTGAGTCCTGCCTGTGGAATTGTGGATGCTTACTGCTTAGGAATCTGATACTAGGACAAATCATCCATCCAGTATTTTCAGGTTTTCAACCGTGGTCTGGCTTAGATCGACTCGTGAATTCAATTATGTAAATACTACAATCTCCACAAACCGCCATATTGAAAAGTGAGTAAAGTTGGGTTGATAACAGCTAGATTATAGGATAATAGTCTAAAATTAACATACTCACTGAGACACTTAAGTTTGATTGTTCTTTTTAAAGCTATCTGTATATAGAAATACTATGAAGTAGTTCGAGGATTCTATTACTCCTCTTCAACTTGATTAAACCTGTTATCAACGTTTAAAAGTTCAACTACCCATACAAATAAATAGAGGAATAAACACTCAGTATAAAATTTACCGGTTGCATTAATACATTATTCTTTCCATATAATAAACGTGTTCGTAAACTTTGATGCATTGATTCCACATGTTCTTTTGCAGCTAAAGCAATATGTTTATTTGATTTAAAGTTACGATTTGACTTAGTTGAATTAAATTCATTCATTTGTGGCAGAAATGCACATGAACCAGTTCTTATTGTTCGATTAGTTGGCATATCACTCTAAATAAACGAATAAATTATAAGAATTAAATTATATTACTAACTGATTTATTAAGTAGCTCAAATTATTTGTCAAAATTATGTTTATTGAACAGAGGTCACTTAAGATATATAAATTATTCTGTTTCATATTTCACATTATCATTCTGCTTAATGACTAGGATAGTGAGGTATGACATAGATATTTTGACAAGGAATATTAACTGAGCAGTCAGTGTTAGTACGTAAAGAAATATATTCTAAATTTACTGATGGCCGTATAAATTATGATTTCGTTCTTATAATTTATTTCTATCAGGATATGAATCATCGTAGATAGTGTCGGTTGAGAACTCTGTTATGAAGGCCCAGTCAACGTTTAATTATTCATAATGGCGGCCTCCACAGGATTAACATGGAAGAAAGTCGGAGTTGGCCATATAATGTCTTGGGGTCAGTACAGGAAACATTATTCATTGTTGTTGGACTGATGTGTGTTGGTAGGTAAGAAGTTTCCATTTAAGGTTAGTCAAGTCACTGGTTCAAAACTTTTAATAATGGCACAGAATAGATTACAGTAGCGCGATTTTAGAAGCTCTGAACCTCTTTCTAACCTTGATAAGTTTATGAATCATGTAAAAGCAGTTTACCCACGTTAATCCTATGGTTTTGTATTATATATTGTTACTGTATACTGACTATTTTCTGATTGGCTAATATTTCTCAAGGTCACTTATTATTCACTCAAAGGTCGTCCATAAATTTGAATCTCGCAGAAATTTAAAATAAATATTTGATTGAATAAAACGTAACTTCTATTGTTTCTATTAAGTTTGAAGCGGTTACCAGTTCACTTAGACTGAGAATGGAACAAAGACTCGGTGACCAAAAAATAAACAATAAACTAGCTATTTGATGCGTCCTAGCCCAGCTAACTAGAGGAAGAAGTCTAAGTATGGAATAGGGGAAGTGTATTCCGAAAACAGTAAGAAACGAGCCATAACAACAAACACAAATCAAAACGTATATATATACAGTACAAAACCATTCTTGGGGAGAGTTACAAAATAGCATATCAAAAGACACAACAGACCAACGGCATTAAAGATTCTCCCAAGCGGGAAATACAACATGAAGGTGAAAAGAGCGTTTTTGGCGCAAAAACAAAGAAATTCAAATTTTCCAAATAAAATCACAAAATTGGGTCCTTTAGCAAGTGATTTCTGGGGATCTAACGTCCCCAACACTTTCTCAATGTTATTTTTTCATAAAAAATATATTCACATTTATTGTTTCCATAGAGACCGCCCACGGTGAATTTAAGGAAGCTCTAAGAAGCTCAGAAAGAGCCGAAGACATTCCAATGGTTTGGAAGAACACTTCAGAATCTCGACGTGTAGTTTGTCTATTGGACAAATGTTAGAAGCCACTGCATACGAGTTGGATGACCATGATGATGATTTCATTTTTACCAAGAACTATAAATACCCAAATGTTTTGTGCTATATTTGACAATGTTTGGAATAAGTCTTTTCACTAGTCTTCTGTCTTCTGATTTGAGACTTGAAAGATCCAAGCTCAAGTTGTACGCGATATAACAGTTTCATCTGTAGTATATCCTACTTACAATAAAAGATGTAAGTTGCATGCAACATCAATCAAAAGTAGAATGATCGTCGAAAGAAGATTGAACCGAAGAGAACAGAAAGGAATTAGAACAAAAACAGAATTGGAAGAATCGTGTAAGATGTAAAGGACAAGTGATGGAAGATGTACAAATGATGTATGTATGATTTTACATTAAATAATAAATTGATTATTCCTCACCAAGTCTTCATTCATTACACAATTTATTCTGTTGATGGTATTCATTACCGACTGATCTCATTTAGGTTACTATTGAAAAATTCTAAGACATGAACAACTTCACAAGTTTAAATCATGAGCCAATTGAAGCTGGACCACCATAGAAAACCGGCTGTCCAGTGCTTCCCGGTTTTTCATGGTGGTCTAGCTTCAATTGGCTCATGATTTCAACTTGTGAAATTCCCAAAAATCTCCACAAAACCCATTCTGACATGAACAACTGTTCTATACTAGTGTATGAATCGTCAATAGTGTACATTTCACAGTCCAGCCAGAGATTGAATTCAGGATATTTAAGTCTTATAATGAGCACACCTAACTATCATAACCTATGGGTTGACACTAATTACCATCGACCTATGAAAAAAACATTAGTTTCGGAATAATCTCCATAGAACTACTGCATCTAAATATGTAATATTATTGGTGTTCCCAATACGTTTGCCCTCAAATTCTAAATACAGAGAGCCATCATCTAGTGTTACTATCTTAATCATCTAACCTATTATACTTAAGAATATCACGGCCAATGCATATTCAAATCAATTCGTGATACAGCACGACAAGCATTATATATTATAGGTGACATTGCTAAACTCCAAACATTACAACTTCATTTTTATATCTTTGTAGTGTATGTTGAAGTAATTCCCTAGTATGCTCACAATAATATTGTAGTGACCTACTTTTATCAAGAGAACGCGATTGGTGTAATCGAAACAATTATTATTATTATAACCAATTGTACCAGTGATTGTTTTACTGTACTTGTTTGTTTAACTGTACCAAAACACATATATTCTTCCATTGATTGTGACCTTGCACAAATTCGGTTACGCTCAGTAACCACACTTATAACCTGGCACGATCTCAGTATTCTTTCGATACTACGAGATCGTCAACAAAATACATCTCGACTACAGCCATCAACTGCCTTCTGATATTTGGCCTACGGGGGATCTTATCGATTCACTGGCACGTAGTCTTCCCGTAGTGGTGATCATAGTCAACCATGACTCGACGCCATACTACTATGAATATTTATAAGATTTAAGGTAATATATTTATAGAGGTGAGGATTGCTACACTAGAGCGGGACAGTTGTTGTTCAGTACTTTTCAATACTCAATTTGTGATAAATACCAATGACAATTTCGAATAATCTACTAGACAATATTAAAAAGAGAATATGATTGATACCAAAAAAAGGTAACCATTTGAGTTCTAGAAATTATCGATTTTATTTTGAGAAAATACGCAAAAAAGAACCAAACATACAAAAAAATTAATGTAGTTTGATTATAATGGTAACATGTTTGTACATGTTTCACTTTTATATGATAGTTGATCGACTGATTTAATGTACCGTTTTTATTTTGTATTAATGAATGAATACAGACAACATGGTAACAATCATAATCATAATCATAATAAGAGTTAAGTACTATTACTTTAATATCAGATGGATATTATAGTAATTTCAATGGTTAACATCATGACTCATTTGAAACTAGACTACCATGGGAAATGTGGAAGTACTGGAAAGCCGTTTCATCCTATTGTGGGACTCCTCATCAGTACGCATCGACGACCTCGCCCCCTGCGAGATTCGAACCCAAGACCTACTGGTTAGTTGAAGTTAGACATTAACACCGTTGGATGCCGGCTCAGTGGTCTAGTGGTTAAGTGCTCGTGTGCGAAACCAGTAGGTCGTGGGTTCGAACGTCGCAGGAGGCGGGGTTGTGGATGAGCACCGATGAGGGGTCCCATTATAGGACGAAACGGCCGTTAGGTGCTTTCAGGTTTTCCATGGTAGTCTAGCTTTAACTGACTCATGATCGTAACCATTGAAATTACTACTACGTTACTGAATAATGTTTTCTGGTTAGAGTTTTTTTAGTGAGTTAGTTTTCTACGGGATGGGGTGGCTAACATCATGCCCAACCCTCCTCCTTTATCCAGGCTTGAGACTGGCAGTAGCCCTCTGAGGGGCTACTATTTATGAAAAAGAGATGATATTGCTGTTGATAAACAATAATAAAATATAAACAACTAGAAAAATGTGAATTCTAAATTCATTGTAAAATGGATTCAATTTGGTGGAGATAGATTGTAGTTTATGAAGTATCATTATTAGTCATAAAATGTTACAGTCGAAAGTGAATAAAAAAGTCAGCTCTCTATCTCGAAATACTTTCCTCATATGACCACATGTAATACAGCCACTGTCAGAGAAGTACTACTTACTGCCTTCTGTTAGCTGGGGCTTTGTTTACGAAATTTTGAGAGAACGAAAAGCGAATGTTCAGTTCTTTAACCACGTTGTTAGATATGAAGGATCCACCTAGTGGGGTTGGAAAACCCTGATTCCAAACCAATCGTGCACATGGGCTCCAGGATCTTGAGGAAACAAATGATGTATGAACTTATGTTGTTGATCACCGGCTACCACCGAGACTGCAACTCCTAACGTTGCTCCACTGCATTATGGAATAAACCTCTAGGCTCAAGATTCATAAAGTGGCTCCCTAATAAAACCATTTGCTTCGATCTGGGCACCAGGGCAGTATTCCAACCCATACACAAATCAAATGACAAGGTGTGACACATATATATTTGGTGCAATTATATGTTTAAACAAATAAATTAATAATCAAAAGTCCCACTAAGTAGGGTATTGATAACGAATAGGAAAAATTGGCTCGTTATGAGCTTCTCTATAATTGTTCAATGAAACACATGAATTTACAACTGATTTAATCACTGAATAGTAGTGACCAAAGTCATGTTTATCTAATACTTTAGTGTTCACTTTTCGAACTAACTCAACATCACTTCTCTAATGTTGAAATCTTAGATAATTATAATTCTATAAGAATCATCGATTCTTTTAAGATTACAATTAAGCTTTACTTATAAATATCAAATAGCAATAATAAGTTTAGATCAGCCTAGCAACTATTCACTAACCATTCAGATTAGATGGTGGTTGGAGGTAGTCAACAGGAAACCTTGGACCCGGGTTTCGTGCTACTTGGCACTCGTCAGCAAGGTGTACCTGTAATCTTGAGGGAACTGATGCTCCCTGGCGGATTCGATCTCGTGTCACCCAGCTTCACAGTCAGAGACGTTACCACTGAGCTATCCGAGCCCTGACTAACCTCCTGTAGGACTGAGATGTAATCACAATTGATTGATCACTGGGTGGTGATCAATCTCATGCTTGTCTAGTCCTTATTAGTGCAGATCGAATGCTATCGATCATGTTGCAATGTCGAGTGCAGTGTCGAGTCACCTAGACTGGTGGCCACATTGCAACATGATCGATAGCATTCGATCTGCACTAATAAGGACTAGACAAGCATGAGATTGATCACCACCCAGTAATCAATCAATTGTGACTAACCATTCAATAACTTACTTATTTTCCTATTTATCATATATTTGTAGCCTATTTTGTGTGACTATAAATATTGATTAACGCTTGGTTTAATGGTAGTTGGCTTACCCGCCATCTCCACTGTGCGTCGTTTTGCTTTGTTCTGTTCCATTCGTTTTACATACAAAATATATATGTATTCAAAGGCCTTTCTCATTAATTGACTTATCTAAATTCCATTATTCACTAACGTGATTTAAGTCGATGATTATATACGATCACATTGGTGTCAGATCTCGGGTCACTAAAGTGGAGAGCCCTTTCGACAACATCATTCGATGATTTAAATAATGACAAAATTTAAAAAGGGCCCCACATAAACACCACCACGAACAACAACTAAAAACTCTACATAAAACTTACTATATTAATAAGTGGAGAACTGCCACGTTTACACATCCAATTGGATTGACTAGAAGAATGATTTACATGGTCAATACGATTATCGATTTTATGACTGTTGAATAATCTTCGATTATTATTATTATTAGTAGTAGTAGTAGTAGTAGTAGTAGCAGTAGAGGAAGGACGTGGAGGAGGAGGAGGAGTATCATTCGATATACTTGAATGATCATTCATATTTCCATTATCATTATAACCATCTTCATCTATTGAAGAATTTTCATTGAATAGTTCTTTTGAAGTATATTTCGATAAATAAGATTGATCATTATTTTTTCTATCGATGATATCAATGACATTAGATTGTTCAATGGATTGATTTAATAATTGTTGACTACTAATTGGTGGTATATAAGTCAATTGTTTAGACATTAAACTACTATAAATACCACGACGTTGTATTAATTCAGAAATTGATGGATCTGTATATAGATGATCTGTTGTTCGTGTATGTGAATAATCAATGGTACATGGACCACCTTTTATTCAAAAAAAAAGAAAAGAAAAGAAAAGGAATATCTGTGATGGAGTTTTATTCTCTGAGCTGGATGGTTTCGTTGTGGAGCTTTCATCGTTCTTTCGAACGACATCATCAGCACAAACTTCAAGTAGAAGTCTTCTATCCACCTGAGCTACAAATCTTCTCCATCATCTCAGAAATATTTGTAATCAATAGAATTATAACTGATAAATTGTTTCGGATCATTCATCAATTTATTGAACAATTTCTACCCATATGAAAAACGATTAATTAAGGATTGTGAAAGTAGTGGTGAAAGATTCGTAGGTTCATTTCATTACTTGAACGAAGAAATGTTTATGGTATTATACCCAACGTGTATGAGGCCACATTTTGAATACGGGTTTCAAGCAGTAAGTGTTTGTTTCGAATATGAGGCGGATATGCTAGAACAACGGCGAGGAACCACTCACTGCATTCTCTTGGCGGAGGTGTTGTTTACGAAAATGAGAGGACGAAAAGCGAATGTTTGGACCATTAACTGGGCCGGTGGACACGGTGAGTCCATCTAGGCGAGTTATAAAACCCTCATTCCAAACCAATGGTGTACATTGGCTCTAGTATCCCGAAGGAACAAATGGGGTATGAACCAATCGCTGGTCACCGGCTGGTTTCCATGGGGATCGCATCTCCTTACAATGCTCCACTGCCTTGTGGATCAGACTTTCAGGTCAAAGGCTTCTGGTGTGGCCCCCTAAGAAAACCACCTGCTTCGGTTTGGGCACCCGGACAGTATCACAGCCCTCACACATATCAAATGAGATTTATGTGGCGCATATGTACTTGGTGCCTCCTTGTACCAATATCTATGTGTTAAAATAAATAAACAAAAACTATATTGTAGAAACAGACTGAGACGCCTTAACCAATTTCCGTGATATTACCGGTTACGGGTGGTCTAATACGGGCTTATTGTATACTGAACGATGATGTTGATATTGATATCTTTTATTAACATCTAAGACATCATCTGAGAAGACATTCCGATGAAGTTCAAGAGCGGAGATCTAATCACTTGCTTCTAGAGTTTATTACATTGATAAGTTTTATGTTATTATTTTTGTTCTTGGTCGTAGCCCAGTTATCTTCCACAATGTTTGTCATTCATATGGAACGGATTCTAAAAGTATTTCTTAGTTACTAGGTCGTTTCTCTCTTGTTTACGTAGAAAATATAAATGATCTTTTTCATCACCTCGACAGTTATGCTGTCAAACTTAGTTCCTTGGTTTCAATGATCAAATTGTTTTAAACATATTCTTTAGTTTATGACTGTTCGCTTTCACTTTGGAATGCTTTTCTTACTATTTATCTTTCAGATTTCAATTCTGGCTAAGTGAACTTCCGCTTCCAAGCTTATGAACATCTTTGACACTTACCTAACATAAACATAACAGTATATTGTAAGCCCGATATAGATTTATTAACGAATAGTAGTCATATTTCCTCTGTGCAAATTCTGTGTTGACGACGTTGACATCGAGTTCAAACAACCTCTTAGAATGAGTCATGAAAGACAGTCTCATTTAACGATCTCCAATCCCAGCCTATCTGGTTTGGCGCTAAATCTATCTCAGGCATCAATACCAACTGGATCAATTTCTCATAGAGCTGACGAATTATCGTCTTTCATTGGAGAAAATCCAGTAAACACGAAGATATCTATACCACGAAGACAAGAGAAATCTCTCGACTATGGATCACGTCTTGCAAAAAAAAACACATCTTGGAAGTATCACCGCCTTCAGATTGCTCCGTAGGTTTATTTTGGTAACTAATTCATGTATATTACAGTGTTTCAATATTCAAAGGAACTAAAACTACTACATGAGTCAATATCTCCTGATGTTCACGTAGATTAAATAACTAAACTATACATATTCATGTCTCTCTTATTATAAGCTTTATTTTGACCTGTGAACTATTATTATACGATTTACCATTCTTGAATTATGCCCTGTCTATTAGTCACTGCCTCCCACATTCACAACCCCATTTGGCTAAATCTTATATAAATGTTGTTTCCTATTTTATTGGTACGATATAGTCTGTCTGGTTGGCATATAAACCAAGTATATTTGAAATACATGATTCATATTGCAGAGCCTGAGATTGGTGTTCTGGACTTAACTGGTTGGGCTAGGCGGAAAGTAGGACCAATAAAAATTATGGACTGCTCGTACGTGTTTTATACATCATTGATCCGATCGATAATTCACTGCTCTCTAACTGGCAATATCGTTACACTATACATTAACAGGGCACACAGCCACATGTTATAACAATAGCTCATGGTAACTTTATCGAAAATTGTTTAACATATCAATATATTGTTACAATATCATTTCATGAAACCATAACATCTTGTTAGGAGTACTACATTGAATAAGATGGATGATCCTATTCATGGGATTTACTAATACAGGCTATGAGTGAAATGATATGATATGCTTTCAGGTATTTCAAAGCATGAAAGCAATTGTGAATATAAAGTTGATTGAGAACATTTCAAAATTCTGGATTAAGAAATTTCTATGAACACTAAAGAACTTTTATAACTTCGGGGTCAATAGTCATTATCATTAGCAGAGATCAAATGAACAAATTAGTGATTGAATACAAATGAGTCTTTCAATAAGTTTCAATCACCAAAAGCAGGGTTTTTTGTGGATATTATAGTAATTTTAATAGTTGAGATCATAAGTCAATTGAAGCTAGACCACTATGGAAAACCTGAAAGCATTGGACGGTCATTTCGATCTAGTATAGGACTTCTCATCAGTGCGCATCCATAATCCAGAATGTGAGACTCTCCCAGAATAACAACGTTGGATGCCGACTTAATGGTCTAGCGGTTAAGTGTTCATGAACCAGATCGTGGATCTTGGGTTTAGGTCGTGCGTGTGGGATCGTAGATTCACACTACTGAGAAGTCCCTTAATAGGACGAAACTGCCGTCCAGTACTTCCAGGTTTACCATGATAATCTAGCTTCAATCGACCCATGATCTCAACCATTGGAATCAATTATCATTGGTTAATTATAAAGCAATGAATTGAATAACAGAGGAAAGTCACACGATATTAGATAACTGATCATTTCACTTTGATTATGATCATAACATTTGACTATCACAAGCTTCAGAAATCTGTGTTTCTTTAGAAAGGAAAAAGTTTGTCATCGAAAAAAATCATGTTTTCCATTAGATACATTCTTATTTAATCAATATATTGATTTCTTTTAAACATAATTACTTTTTCATTAATCGTAAAATGTGTTCAGGTCCCCAAGACGCTGTTACGGTAAAGGGTGAGAAAATTCAGATTTCCATCTAAAAGTGCTCTCCTTACATGGTCACAAATATATAGCCACTGTCAGGGAAGTCCTACTCACTGCCTTCTCTCGGTGGAAGTGTTTATGAAACTGAAAGGAAAAACAGCCAGTGTCCGACTCTTGAACCGGGTTGGTGGATATGGAGGATCCATTTAGGGGAGTTGGGAAACCCTCATTCCAAATCAATGGTACACATGTACTCCAGAATTCTGAAGGAACATATAGCGTATGAACGTGTTATTGGTCACCGTCTACCATGGGACTGAATTTCCAAACGTCGCTACACTACTCTATGGATTAGACCTTTAGGTCAAAGGTTCTGATTTTGTTGCTAACCCCAATTTTGTGACAAACAAATTCAATGTTAACAGTCAAGTATCCACAATATATCTAGATATATGTCTTAGTGAGATGTTGTCCCTATTAATTGGTTATCCAGTTTAAAAGTGTCAAACTCGTTAACCTCTACATTCAGTTAGAAACATATTTCTTTCATTCCATCGATCGATCACGACCGATCATTTGATGTTATTTAAATATAATATTTGATAGACATTGACATTAATGACCTCCGATTTCGTCACGTCTTATTGTATTTATTAAGTCTCTGGAATATTTACTGCAATAAGTACATTGGTAAATAGTAACTAACACAAATTGTACACTAACCAAACATCAGTATTTCATTTCTCTAACAAACTAACGAGAATAACTGGTAAAGGTTAGAAGATATGGTAATAGACATCTCAACCTAATTCATTCTACAACGACTAATATTGATACTTCTTTTTGGTTCATTTGGTATTGTTTAACTCCGCCTGAAGTCCCTCTGGGGACTACTGCCGGTCCCAAGCCCGGATAAAGGAGGAGGGTTGGGCATGGGGTTAGCGTCCCCATCCCGTAGAAAACTAACTCGCTAAAAAAACGCTAAAAAACGCTATGGTATTGTTTACTTGAATCTTCCTATTGATGTTTAGGACTGCAATTGATCAGTCTCTTATTGGTTTATGTGCATCCTGAGTGGATTACCACGATATTGCCTTAAGTAACAAGCATTCTAAGCAAACATGAATGGTAGATAGTAGTGGAATGCAGTACCTACGTTTCGTCCTATTTGGGACTCGTCAGTTGGGTGTACCTGCATCCTAGACTTGATGTTAATTCTGGGACTCGAACCTAGTGCTGTTCGCTTCAAATGCCATCGTGTTAACTACTTAGCTACTGAGTCCTGATAGCCACTTTCTCGTACAACGGGGTAAAGTTTAAATTCACCTGGTATTGTTTACATGAATCTTCCCATTGATGTTTAGGACTGCAAATGATCAATCTCTTATTGGCATATGTGCATACTGTGCAAATGGTACTGGGTTCGAGTCCCAGAGTAAACATCAACATTGAGATGCACGTAAATCTAATTGATGAGTCTCAAATAGGATGAAACGCACGTTCTAGATTCCAGTGTTAACCACAATCCATCTTTGCTTGGAACAATTCTTTTAGTTTCATTTATCAACATGTAAATTTCCTCTTTCTATATGATTGTGACACAGATTATTCCTCAAAATAAGCCCAAAAAGGCGGTGGAAACAATTGGAAACATTTTATCAAATCATTATTAGATAGAAGTTTACCAGAAACATCTAGCAAGTGAAGAGTCACGTGTCGCATTCTTGATTGGATATTTGCCTATCCCGCTACTATGTTTAGAAGGGTTCCAGATCTTTCCAGAAGCCCTAGGTAATCTGAAATACTATAAATATCCTCGATCTTATGTACATAAACTAATTTTAGAGTAAAATGTTATTCCCATTTTATGCACCTTTTCTCTTATGTTCAAGCTGTCATGTAGAGTTAACCTGGAGTTTTTGATTGAGATCGTGAACCGATTGATGTTAGACCATCACAATTGAAAACCTGGAAGCACTGGACGGCCATTTCGTCCTATTGTGGGACTCCGCAGCAGTGTGCATCGACGACCCCGCGAGCGGGATTCGAACCCAGGGCCTTCGGTCTCGCGCGCGAACGCTTAACCAACTGGACCACTGAGCCGACATCCAATGGTGATAGTTTCTAACATCAACCGAAGGCTCTGGGTTCGAATCCCGCTCGCGGGGTCGTCGATGCGCACTGCTGGGGGGTTCCACATTAGGACGAAACGGCCGTCCGGTGCTTCCAGGTTTTCAATTGTTATGGTCTAACATCAATCGGTTCATGATCTCAATCAAAAACTTAATAATCTCCACAACCCCTATGCTAGTAACCTGGAGTTGTTAGAAGAGCTTAGTAAACCGATTCCATCGTTCACAGTCAGTAATAATATCAGATACTTTTGAACTTGAAATGACATTTATTCAAGCTACTTCATACACTTTATACGAATATTCGTCAAGATTAGAACGAATAGTTTGACTTCATACACTGTTGACAATTTCTTAGTTAAATAATAATTGATTGAGTGTCATCCGAAGATAGCTGTAAACTAAATTTTAGTCCAGTTCCAACGTATACGAGTGGTAACATTTCTAAATATGACATTAGACAATACGTTTCGCATAAAACAAGACAAAAAAGCTGTCTAGTACACCTTACTTTTCAATAGATCTCCTTTAGTATCAGAAGGGGTTTTGTGGAGATTGTAATAATTTCAATAGTTGAGATCATGAGTCAATTGAAGCTAGACCACCATGGAAAACCTGAAACCACTGGACGGCCGTTTCACTTTACTGTGGCACTCTTCATCAGTGCGCATCCACGACCCCGCCTCGTGTGATAGTAACTCACTGATGACAATGATGGATGTGTCGCTCAATTTTGTGGATTAGTTGAAGTTAGACATTAACACCATCGGATGCCGGCTCAGTGGTCTAGTTGGTTAAGCGCCTGGCGCTGATAGGTCCTGGGTTCGGATCACGCTGGGGGTGGGATCGTAGATGCGCACTGCTGAGGGGTTCCACATTAGGACGAGACGGCCGTCCAGTGCTTCCAGGTTTCCCATGGTGGTTTAGCTTCAAGTGATTCATGATCTCAACTATTGAGATCTTTAGTTTATATTCATTACAGATGAATATTTGTCAGAGCATATTTTAAACTCATAAAGCACTAGTATACTGTTTTATGACAACTACTCTTTATGAATACATCTTGATGAGTCATGCAACTAAACTATAATAATATGTTTATTGTTGAATGGTTATACGACAAGTTTCCAAATATTCTAGTGTGAAGTTGTAATGGATGAAGTTCATGGAATCAGTTATCAATTCGGTGAGATTATAATTTATGGATGACCTTTAAAAGATACTAAAGTGACTTTGGGAATGTTCACCTGCTACTAACTACGACTAAATGAGGATTATAAAACAGTGTGAGGAATTAGAACTATGATTTACAAGTGATGGTTAGGGTTATGAATTAGATTTTAGGTTTTGCATCATGAACTGATATCAGCTAAAATACCACAGCCCTAATTAACCAAATGAATGCATGAATTTCACACCAAAATCCAAGATTTGTTATCTTCAATCTGATTGGTTCATCCATAAATTATAGTCTCACTGATTTTCTCCATTTCCGGACAATTCTTCCCTGGTTAACTATACCAGGCCTATACATTGTTGTCTAGTGTTGATTGACTTTCTGATCCTATGTTCAACCCTCCTTCTTTACCCCCAGTAACTCGAAAAGATCTACAGACGGAGTTATAACGGTTGGCAAATCTATGAATCCAGTTAAAAACCTTTAACTACTTATGTAAGATACACTTATCCAGATGTAAACACTTAATAGGTAGATCAGTTGATGTTTTGTTTCTCTCTTAATGTTTATTAACACTTCTAAAATGTTGTTTATTTCTCAATGAGGTGACCTATTCTCTCATATATCTATTCACATAAATACACACATGTATACACAATAGTGTATAGTGTAATAAATGGGTTACACAATTAGAAAACACTCTTAGTTACTATTATTGTATCATATTTATATTGAGAAATCTCTATAGAAATAAATAAACTGTAATTTTTAGAAAAGAGGGAGGGGATTATGGAGATTATAGTAGTTTAATAGTTCAATTCATAAGTTGATGATGTAATATCATGAATTGGTTGAAGTTAGACATGAACATTGTTGGTTACCTACTCAATGGTCTAAAGGTTAAATGTTCATGCATGAGACCAAAGGTCCTGGGTTCGAATCCAACGAACAGGATTATGAGTGCGCACTACTGAAGAATTTCATACAAGAATGAAACGGTCGTCAAATGCTTCCATGTTTTCCATCATGATCTAGCTTAAATCAATTCATGAATTCAACTACTAAACTATAATTTGATGATGAATATCACAAATTATTCTGCAACAAACTGTCACCAACTTATTCTGTTTTCTTTTCTTTTTCCTTAGTTTAAGGGAGTGTGAATGGTTTTCACGGTTTTTTTTGTCACAGTTAGAGAACCGTTGAATATTATGAAGCATTGGAATGTTGTCTTATCCTAGTGTATGATCGATTGGCAGTGGATGGTCACAACCAAACTTAAAACGAAACCAAAACCTTCAGAAATCGTGATGAATGTTTAACCTTCAAATCATTGAGTCAACGTTAAATTGTTCACAATTCTAATTTTAATGAATTTGTAATATTTCTCAGCCGTTATCGATTCCTAGCGCTGATATTTGTCTCACATTTAATCCCAAGTAGGGTGGTGGATGAGTACTATTGAGGAGTTTCATGCATCATAAAAATTCATTCTTGAATGACAATGAAAATTAACTTAGGTCACTATGTGCCATACTTGAAGAAACATTTTCTTTAGCAATATCGAGATAATCCATACAGGACACAAATATGCCAACAAGGGACTAATCAATTGCAGTCCTGAACAGACATGGGAAGATTCAAACAACTAATACAAGGATAAATGAAACTTCATCCGATTGTACAAGCTATTGACTATGAGGAATCAGTAACTGAATGGATAACACGATGGCGTTTGAAGTCAACAGTACTGAGTTCGACTCTCGAAGTGAACACCAACTCTGAGATACAAGCATATCCAACTAACGAGTCCCAAATAGGACGAAACGCAGGTCCTGCATTCTACTACTAGCCGTCATTCATCTTTGCTTAGAATGCTTATAGCTTAAAGTAATATTGAGGAAATCAACACAGTATGCTCATATACATGAAAAACATTGAAATTTTGTTCTGTTTACTTAATGTTTCATTTATAGAAGATAAGAGACAAATTAATTGAATAAACTCAATGTCGAATCCCCTAGACTAGTGGCCATTTGATCGATAAGATTCGATTTGTACTAAGAATGACCTGACATACATGATATTGATCACCACCCAGTGATTAATCAATTGTGAGAATATCCCAGTTCTACAGTCATGGACTGGATATACCAATCGTAACGTCTCTGACATGGGCTTGAATCCGTCAATTCTCTTAGGATTACAGGTATACCTTGCTGACGAGTGCCCAAATAGCACGAAATCTAAATCCAGGGTTTCCTTTTGTCTACCTTCAACCACCATCTCAGAATAAATGAGAATGGGTGAAGTGCTATTTTATATATAAATTAAGCAATTTGATGTACCGCCTTCATTTATACTTACGTACATCCCATCAAAGTATGATTTCAATGGTATATATATTTATGAGCCTGAAAGTCCTTAAGGGGAGGTTGTAAGTGCGCAGTGATTTTTTTTAAACCCGATATATACCATATTGAAAGATATATTGAATGACTTGATTTCATAGTTAAAACCGTCAAGAGATGACACTGTTTTCTTTCTGATTACAGTACAGGAGTGGAGTGGTTTTTAAAACATTAGATTCCTCATACTTTTTAACCTAGAATCTGTCAGCCATGGAGTTAAGCGTTTAAATACATTGTCTTTCTCTATTCGGTACACGGAAGAATCAAACTTTGAATTCGAAGCCTCTGCTTGAATGAGTTTCGGCAGGCACAAACTCAATCAGAATTAATCTTTAAAGTACTAAACGTTTTAGGTTTTAGTTCACAGTATCAATGTTCTCTTCACAAAGTTCTTTTCAAGTAATCGTTCGCTTCAAACATCATCGTGATATCCACTTAGCTACTAAGTCCAGATAGCCAATAGTTTGTGCAGTCGGGTGAAATTCCATTCATTTTTATATTGGTTGTTTGAATCTTCCCATTGATATTTAGGAGTGCAACTGATCAATCTGTTATTGGCATATGTGCATCATGTGTAGATGATTACCTCGATAGTCACAAGCGTTTTAAGCACAGAGAGATGATGGTTAGTAGTAAAATATAGGATACGCTTTTTCTCCTATTTGCAACTTTTCAACTTGATGTACCTGCATCCCAAAGTTGATGTTCACTCTGAGAATTGAACTCAGCACTGTTCACTTCAAACGTTATGATCCTTTCATTGTGTCATCTAGAGCTTATTAACTTAGACATAGCAATCTAAATTGATAATTAAGAAGTATAGACTGATCGCATATTCCATAGTTGGATTAAAACATTGAAAAAAAATCTAGAATAACTTACGCAATAGATCACTGATCAATTGCCCATAACATGGATCCGCAATAACAGAATATGGTTCGTAATATTGTCTAAAATCAATAAATATCAAATATGATATTATGATACTATTGATATAATTATCTTTCTTAAAAGAGTTAACATTATGTAATATGGTTGAATGTATACAATAGTGAACTTCGATTGACTGAGACTTCGTGTAGGTTGACATTCGTGCTCAACAAGATGTGTGTGTGTGTGTAATCCTGAGGAAACTGATGCACGCAATGAGATGAGAAACCTCGTTATTCAGCTTCCCATCGTGAGAACAACTGATTGTTTACTGGGTAGTGATTAATGTCATGTTTGTCTAGTCGTTTAATGCTGATCGAATTAATATCAATTCTGTTCGTAGGACTTGGTATTAAACTCAAGCACAATGAATCTGAACTATTTCAGTTCAGGAGATCTTGAATTTGCAAGAGATAACTACAATAATTGGTTGATTAATAGTAACGAACAACATCAATAATAAGCAACGTGTAGCTAAGTGAAGATCTAACGTCAGTTTATGAAACAATTAACAGATGAATTCAGTCGTGTTAGATGATGTACACTTCTTGATTGAGGTAAGCTAGATATGTTCAGCTAACCAGATACTGACAATCATGAAGTATTATATAGCCATTCAAAATGAATGTACCAGTCTGCAATGTAAACTATTAATTCAACAATCTGTACACGAACCATTACCACTTCGTAGTGATTAACTTACAAACTCCTGGAGTTCTAGTTAAACACTATGTTCACGATGTCTAAACTCGTAGGATTTCACAAATTTACGGAAGTTAGAAATATGGATCTTTCAGTACCAAGATAACAAATCTGTCACCAAGTTCAGATTTCTTAGATTCAATTCATATTCAGATCATCAGTTTATACTGCTGAAGACTTTCATATGAGGTGCTAAGCTAAACAGATAGCCTATCCTAGATATGGTCTATGTGTAACATATGCCTTTGAAAAAAAAAACTTTCCAAAACTGAATTTTCATTTGTACAATATGAAAATTGGCATCAAACTAATGAATTATCGATCATCTTCTATTTCTAACATGAATCTATGTAAATGTATGGAGAGTGTAACGTGACCATTTGAAGTGTGTGTGTGTGTGAGAGAGAGAGAGCAAGTACTAGACAGATACAATTTGTTTTCTTTTAACTAATTTACACTAAAAGACAAATAGGTGATTACAACAACAACGGCAACAGACAAATGAGCATAAAGAAAGTCTTCATGACACGACAGTCAATCGACTGGCTTTATTCAAGATTACATTCAACATTATTATAAAATATCAGTTACCCTTAGATGATTTTATGTTAAGACCGAGATCAAATATGTGTAATCACAAGGAAACTGATCAGAGTTAAACAATCATGTCACCTTGTTTATAACCCATCAACTTGATAACAGGTTGATGTAAACCACTTATGATTCAAGGCGACCTACTTGAATATCTGGTCAAACTGTTCCTGTCATCTGGATATTTCAACAACTTATCTGTTTTCTCGTTTGTTTTAACACGTCATTAACTCCTCCTGGAGTCCTTCCGGGGGCTACTGCCGGTTCCAAGCCCGGATAAAAGAGGAGGGTTGGGCATGGGGTTAGCGACCCCATCCCGTAGAAAAATAACTCGCTGAAAAACGCTAAACGCTTTAACACATCATTATATTATTATTGGTCTTATAACCTATTCAGGTGCGTTTGTGAAACGTTTACGACATTTCACTGTGTACAAGTTACATAAGAGCTCAATCAGTAACATCGTGATTACTGGCAGCATTATGCGTTGAAAATAATATACATTATTCACATGTCGATTGTTGATCTGCTAACATCTAACTGAAGACCACTCAATATTTATCTCAAGGGTCGATCAAGAAATAAGGAAACTTGTTGGAATACTTTGTGCTGAGAATTCTATCTTGCGCCAAAAATATAATATTCAATAAAGCCATTATTAATAATAATAAGCTTCTTTGTTCTGACGTCTTGGTGTTATGATACAGTTCCAGGCCTTTGTTAACATCCATTGATGTTAATCTAACCATTTGATTGAAATAGTTCTGGTGAATTTAAGAGGTACTTGAAGTTTGATTAGGTTTACCTCACCGAAATGCGGACTCCAGTTAGTCAGTCTTTATCAATATACATAAACCTCATTATAGTGAACAAAGACTTGTGACCGTAGACCAATAAGCTAGGTATTTGATGCGTTCCAGATTCGCTAACTAGAGGAAAAAGTCCAAGCTTGGAACGGGAAAGTATATTCCATAAGCCAGATGCACGAGTGAATCATAACAGACACAAATCAAACGTATATATACAGCATAAAACTGTCCTTGGAAAAGGTAGCAAAAATAGCATACTAAAAATACATAACGCACTAATAGAGTTGAAGATTCTCCCAAGTGGAAAATACGACATGAACGTGATGAGTGCGCTTTTGGCGCGAAAACAAGAAAATTTAAATTTCCAAAATAAAATTATGAAATGAAAGTATTTACCAAGTGACTTCTGGGGATCTAACATCACAATTGATTGATCACTGGGTGGTGATCAATGTCATGCTTGTCTAGTCCTTATTAGTGCAGATCGAATGCTATCGATCATGTTGCAATGTGGCCACCAGTCTAGGTGACTCGACACTGTGGGCACTATGTATTGAGATTTAGATGGTGGTTGGAGGTAGTCAACAGGAAACCCTGGACCCGGGTTTCGTGCTACTTGGCACTCGTCAGCAAGGTGTACCTGTAATCTTGAGGGAACTGGTGCTCCCTGGCGGATTCGATCTCATGTCACCCAGCTTCACAGTCAGAGACGTTACCACTGAGCTATCCGAGCCGCTACTAACATCTAACATCCCCAACATAAGAACCGCTTGTTTTCTTTAAAAACATTATAGACCTTTATGATCTTATATATTAGCCAACGTTTTCTCTGGATTATATTATACATTTCAGTTGGATAACTATTATTAACCACTGAGTGCTGAAAGACTGTTCCATCGCATCATGACATTCTTCAGAATTGTACATACAACTTCACTGAGAACTGAGTTTTAGGATCTTCATACCATTCATAAAATATGTTAACTCTAGACCACTCAATTGAAATTCAATAGAATTTCAATGTGAAGTATATTCAAAGTCAGTAGAAATGACTATCTCGTTCGCAACATGCCTAAACTTCAATAATCACAGCTTTTCACTAAAACCTTGGGAACTCATTTTTGACTTGACCAATTATGGCTTAATATCATCAACTTTAAAGAGTAATTTTTATGTGAGAATCTAATATGCTACTTGGATAGCAAGATTTAAGTAGGAGAAAGATGATTACTGCTTGCAACATGCCGATTGAAAGTGAAACAACTCAATTATGAAACTACTTTTACACCTTGTATAATAACAGGATTGAATTCATGAGTCAATTGAAGCTAGACTACAATGGAGAACCTGGAAACCCTGAACGGCCGTTTCGTCATGTTGTGGGACTCTTCGTCAGTGCCCATCCACGATCCCGCTCCATGAGATTCGAAGCGTTCGCTCACATGAGTGATAGGTCCTGGGTTCAAACCCCACGGGGCAGGATCGTAGATGCGTATACAACAGAAGTGAAATATTTCGGTGGTGATATTCTTCAATTTATTGTTCTTACTATTAGTATAGCACTGGAATCATTCAAGATTAAAAGTATAATGTTGAATACAACTGTAAAAACTCTATTCAAATAAAGATGACGTCCACTGGAAACATTCTGCATCATGGAATAACCATCCTGTCATACTATTGGTCTTCTAATTAATCTGATTTAAGATATAAATTGATTTAAATACTGAATTTATAGCAGTCGATATAGAATCAATAATGTAAAGAGTAAGTGTTAACAGCGAAATCGTTAGATCCTGTGTCTAATGTAAGACGTGATTATGAATGTGTACTATTCATTCATCCATTTGGCTAAATAGAATCTTGGCATTATAGTTGATGTCATTTCATGATGAAACCTCATAAACCTAATTCCTAACCTTAACTATCAACTGTAAATCAGAATCCTTATACTTCACATTGGTTTATAACCTTTATTTAGACCTAGTAATTAGATGGACATTCTCAAGGTCAGTTTAGGGTCACTCAAAGGTCATCCATAGATTATAATCTCGCCGGATTCCCCATTAGGTAATTGGGTATAGAGAATTTAAAAAAAAAACAATTTCATCATAACAACTCGTTCATGTACATACACTGGTATGACTGATGTGAACCCTACCTCCCCACCCTAATTAAAAATAAACTATATCATAAGTAATAATATCAACTTACAATGTATTATCAGCTAAAAATTTGACAATTTTATCTAACACTTTTTCATAGATACCAACACGAATCCAAAAATTTTGAAAGAAAGTATCAGGACGACTAAAAATGGAAACAAAAGAATAGATTTTGATTCATTGTAATCTGCATAATGAACAAATAAAGAACAGGGATTACTGGAGAAGTAGCAGTAGTAGTAGTAGTAGTGATGGTGGTGGTATTAGTAGTGGTAGTAGTGGTGGTGGTGGTAGTAGTAGTAGTAGTAGTGGTAGTGGTGGTGGTGGTGGTAGCAGGATGAATTATGTTTCGAATTTGTAGAAAAATGATCAACACTTCGAATTCTTGGAATTGATTACACATTTCAGATATAAAAAAACTTGAGCTCAATCCTTTGTGGAAGTGGAAACTCAAACTCAATCGAATCTTCACCTGAAAAATGCTTAATAAACTATCCTTTACATTCAGTTAAGTAATTCAATATGCAGAAACTCATTGTCATTAGTGAAACAAACTCATTCTAAATCATCTCTCTAAATGAATTAATTTATCTGTAAATTCTCGCAATTCTAGCGAGCTAATCTGTGACGGGTAGATAAAGGTATCTACATCAGTATAATTGAAGATGGTCGCGCAATTCCGTGGATTGGTTAAGATTAGACGTTACCATGGTGGCATACCATGTCAGTGATCTAAATGTTAAGCGTTTGCGCGCAAGACTGAACGCACTGAGTTCGAATCAGGCGAGCAGATTGGTGGATATGCATTGCTTAGGAATGCCACAATAGGACGAAACGGCCATTCAGCAATTCCAGGTTTTCAATAGTGATCTAATATCAATGGATTCATCATTTCAATATATAAAATTTGTGATGGCACAGGAAAAGACCTTAAATACACCGTTCATAAATCCACAGGATATCCAACTAAGAATAAGATAAAAGTTCCCAAACGATGCATTACATTAAAGTAAATGTACAACCTAAACAATTTTACAACTAGTAAAATTAAAACAATCTTATATCACATGTATGTTTTCGATATTTAACGCTACTATTTATATCAAGTTGACGATGATTGTGAACTGGGGTGAATTCTGTATTTATTATTCTTATCAGAATATATATATATATATATATAGAGCAGTACTAGTCGGTGACTACTTATATGTGCCATATTAGTAGATGCAGACTACTTCGTTAATATCTGTGAAATAATCACAAAGAAGTAGTTTGATATGCCAACGTCTCAAAATCAATCACAATAACACACATGCATTCAATAACAGTCTTCCATCCATCCCGTTCTCTCCATTCGTATTATCTATACCAAATCTTTTTTATTAACATCGACACTGTTATCATTCCTATTAGTCTGACACATATCATGGTAATTTCATTCGATTGTACTGATATGGTGTACAATGGACTGATGTACATTCGTGCTAAGCTCTATGTGGAATACAACAGACCGACTTACTCAGATTCGAGAAATTTTTTAATAGAATGTGAAGGCTGATAATACTACATGGGTGTTTAAACTATAGTAGATGAGACAGGACTCGAACATACAATCTACTGAATAGGGACCGAATGATTTTCGTTACTAAACCACTGTTTTCAATGTCATGTAATTGTTTTGCATGCTCTCACTCAAAATTCTCTATTCTATTTCCATCGTCATTCAATTTACACTCATTCATCTTTGTTACGTTGTAGTAAACAAGATCTGAGGTGGGAAAGATCAATCTATAATTTAGTGCAAAATTACAGTATCTTCTTAAAATATGAAAACTATACATCAAATACGTCACATGCACATCTCCAATCAGTTGTTTCTCACAAACTTCATCGTTCCCTCATTCCTCTTGTTATTACAAATACTCTCTGTTTATATTCCTGTTCACTTCAATTCGTTCTCCTCAATCTTGTGTTGCTATGCAATCCACTCCCAGTTCGTTTTACATACTACTTATATTTTTCAACATAAGTAACATCCAACACAACGTTGTTCAACGTTACACTATCTATCACTATCACTATCACTGTATATCATATGCATCCACGTACACGTACACTCACACTCACACACGCTTACGCACACACACACCAACAAAAGAAACACAAATGATTACTAGTGAGTCATGACTTCTCTCATTTCTAATTAATTATCTCGGTCTTACACGATTGTATATCTTCAAAACTGATGTTTGTCAGAAGAGATTTACATCCATTGTTTTATACTATCCTAATGAATAGATTCATTGTAGAAAGTGTACTGTATTGTCGAATGAATTGAGTATTATCCATGAATTCGCCTACTCGATGAGATATTGTAAATCAATGATTTTGATTAATTACTTGGTTCGAGTGTCATGCGTGGAATTGTGGATACGATCTGCTGAGGAATGTCATACTAGGACGAAACGACTGTTGAGTGCTTTCAAGCTTTCAATGGTGGTCTAGCTTAGATGAAGTCACGAATTCAACTATGAAAACTTCGTTATAATAGTTAATGAAATATGACTTTAAAATTATTTAACAAGACATAAACTAATCATTGTTTATGACTATTCATTAGTCTATGTCCTTGACCAGTATATAATAACGATATAGTTATTTGTGCATCTAATCCTGTCAATCAGTAACTGAGCTTGTCAACAATGTATGATGAAAGTTGTAAGGCAGCTGATGGTAGTAACAAATAGAATGTCACTATGCAATAAGGACAAATTCAGTTGTTTTTTTTGTTTTTTTCTTGATGTAACTTTATAGTGACAACAGAAACATTCACTACAGCTTGAAAGATCTGAGATTCATACAATGGATATTTCATTTGTAACATGTCAATCAATTGTTTCAGACGTTGTTGTTCGTTCATTTCTACACTAATCACTCTCTGTTTTCTTCGGTCATCTTAATCTACTGCTGTCAGGTATTTCACTTTCAATTGTTGATACATACTACTTATATCTATTGGGCATCAGTAGTACACATCACATTATTACTGACAAGTTTAAATTGAGGTCAACTGTACGAATTGAAAATCGGCTGCTCTTAATTTTTCTATAGTTTAATGGAAATCTCCTTAATTTACCAATTTATCAATCATATAGGACGAAACGTTCATTTTGGATAGCACTGCTAACCATCATCCATCTCTGCTTATATGAATCACAATGTTAATAAACATGGCAATTAAAGCGTAAATGTACTATGAATACAGTAAATAGTGCTGACAGTTAATGAACCATAAAAATATATTACTAATCTGTGATCTGTAATCAGATTACCATGTAATATGTAAAGGTACGGATCCTACTCTACGGAGCTGAAATGTAGAGAACTACTACAACCATCATCAAAAACGTACAACTATTCATGAACAGTTGTCTACACAAGATACTCAATGTCTACTGATCGACAGTCTACTGCTGGGAAGAAGAAACCAGCTTTCAACTGAAGAGAAAATTAGGAAAAAGGCGTTGGAAGTGGATAAGACATACGTTAAGGAAATCATCAAACTTCATCACGAGACAAGCCCTAACTTGGAATTTTGAAGGGAAACGGAAAAAGAGGAGGGCCAAAAAATCAGAAGCAGATATCAAAAGGATTGACAACAACTAGAAAGGATTGTCCAAAACACAATTATGAATACAGTGGTCTTGAGTGCTGTCACAGTTATGAAGACGGTCTTCCTTTAAACTACAAACTAATTCTTTCTTTCTGTACTACGTCCTTATATGTAATCTTTCTTTTATATATTACCACTACTGAACTACTTCTATGAATCCGGTGTTCATCTTGTTGTGATAATGATGTATGGCAACTTGAATCAATGCACATATGTGCTTGAACTAACATTGAAGCTAACTGACTGACTGACTGACCAAAACAGAATTGGTTGGAGAATCCTAATATGTATCCCATACTCCTCCAAGAGGGTTAACAGGAATAATTTATCAAATATATGTCAGTTATATAAACCAGCTACAGATATATTATCTACCAGTGCTTCATCTGAATTCACTTCAATGTAAGTTAAGTTCATTTCATCAATAGAATTACTGTTTATTAGAATAATAAGTATATCTCACTACTGAATAATTGTCAACTTCTTATAAGGCAATTCACCATGAATGATAATTGATGCCTAATATTCTCTTTTTTTTTCTTTTTTTCACCATGAAGTACTATAGTAACTAGTTTAAGGTCAACAAAGAAAAAAAAAGATATTTTAATCAATATTTACTTCATTGAACTAAGTATGAACAGGGTTCGATATCCGTATTCAAGAGTATCATGTTTATTTCATGTTATATTGAATTGATAGTATCACATATATGTGAAGGTGGTAAATATACCTTAACAATGAATGTAAATAAGCTTCAATACAAATATACAATAGATAGTAATGTATTGTTTAATTTTCAACGTAGTACATGCAATGTCGAGTCATCTAGACTAGTGACTACATTGCAATTTGGTCGATAGGATTCAATTTGCACTAAGAAGAACATGACATACATGAAAATGAACACCACTCAATGATTAATCAATTGCAAATACATCTCAATCCTACAAGACGTCAGTTGTAGCTTTCATAGCTCAGTGTTAACGTATCTGATTGTGAAGCTGGAGGATATGGGATCGAATTCGTCAGGGAGTATCAGTTCCCTTCTAGATTATAGGTACACCTTGCTGGCAAGTACCAAGTCGCATGAAATCTTGGTTCAGCGTTTTCCGTTGACTATCTCCAACCATCATCTTATCTCAGCATAGTGCATGCAATGTTGAGTCATCTAGACTATCGGCCACATTACAACTTGATCAATAGGATTCGATCTGACATACATGACATGGATTACCATCCAATGATCAGTCAATTGTAAATTTTCATGCATAAATTAATCATCTCTTAGTCAATATCAATTTCATACTACAGGAAAATAGAAACTGTTTTACTTGGATCTTTCGGTCAAGGAAATATGTACTGAAAATCATGTACAAGTGATTCTAAATAATAAGTATCATTATAGACTATAATAATCGAAATGATCTAGGTGTAACGTAGTCAACTGAAAACAGTTCCTATACTGATTATCT